TGTTTGATATAATTTATCAGTTAAAATGTATATGAGCCTGCTGTTGTCATACAGGTAGGTTTTCAAGCTAGGAATATACTTTCTTTAATAGGTACTATTCAAATTTTATTTCCTCCAGAGTTAGTTTCATTAATTTGTCTTCCAAGGTACTTCTTAGAAGTTGTCAAATTTATTTCAAAAAAGATTTTAAATTCTGTAAAATCTGTGGTAATGTCTCCTAGATCTTGATATTGTAATTTTAAAAATGTATAATCGATACTGTGTAATAGGAAGAAAAGGTCTAAAGGAGCAGGGGAAGTGGGAGGGGTAGGGGAAAGGACAGAAGGGAAAAGAAAAAATATGAGAAAAGGAAAAAAATGGAAACAAAGTCTTTGCAAATAGGGAAGGCTGGAGGGGGGTGAAGGGAGGGCAAGGGAAGGGGAAAAAGATAAGAACCAAGATACTTATGTAAAGGTACAAGATCCCAATGATGAATGTAACTGTATTTTATACCTAAAATGTACCAATAAACTTAATGGGGGGGGGGGAAGAAAAGGGAAGACAGACTTTAGATTGAATGTGGAAAGACTCCAATGCAGAAACATGTGTTAAAGCATGTAGTCCAGAACCTGGCACAAAGAAGAGCCCAGTAAACGCCAGCTATTGTTATTAGGGGCCATACAAATGGAATGAAGATGTTTGCTTTTGTTTTGAGACAAGGTCTCACTATGTTGCCCAGGAGGTCTTGAACTCTGGGCTCAAGTGATCTGTCCCCGACAGCCTCCCAAGTGCTGGGACTACGGGCGCCTGCCACCATGTCCAGTTTGGAAGGAAGTTTTCGCCCTTCCTTTGACACCTGAGCACAAGACTTTTCCACAGGGAGTAACAGTGATTACTTGTTAGCTCTATAAAGTCACTACAAACACTAAATTAATGAACACTGATCACTGCTCCCAGGGAAAATATGGGGTTAGGTTCCTGTGAGCCTCTGGTCACATTTTCATTAGCTGATCAATAGATAACTGTATTTCACATACACTTGTTTAGACACCTTACTTAACATATACTGAGAATTGCTTGAGCTCACTGCCAAGAGCACTAATTCATGCTTGAATGAAGATTATCTAACATGTATTTTCTCTGCCAGGCACATCTCACTTTCTTGCATATAGGAACATTAAACAGCACTTCAGCACCACACGTGTGTCCATTGAAATAGCAAAAAGCACAAAAATGCAGAACCCGCTTTCCCTTGATCTGGTCAGACAGTTCCCACCAGAAGTCCTGAAGTCCTATAGCACTCTGCAAGGCCCTCAGGTCACATACCTTCTCCTGCAGATTAATGTCATTGAAGACTGTCCCTGACTCCACACCCTCAGCAGCAAACCCCGCCTACAGGGGACAGGAAGGCAGCAGTTAGTCTCAGGGAAGGGAGGCCCAGGGCTGGCATGTGAACTGGCCCTGGGAGGTGGCTCCTCTAGCAGATCTGGGATGGAGACAGAGATGCGTAGTGTGCAGCTGTTCTGGAATAACTGCTGAGCTTCCAGGACCTGGTAGCTGGCTTTGAACTAGAGTGGTTCTTCCAAATTACAGCTCTGGACCAGAAGCCAGGAGTGAGGTAAACTTCCACTACCCTGATTTGCTGAGGACCCAGGACATGTCACTTCTCTAGACCTTAGTTTTCTCATTTATGAAATGAAGATGATAATATTATCTCTTCTGCTTTACCTCACAGATCTGTTGTGACTTGAAAATGCTGTACAAATAAAGGAGGTGAGCAATGGTTCTGGAGTCAGTCAGACCTGGGTTCAACTTATATATAGCTCCACTGCTTACTAACTGTGTTACCCTGGCCAGCTGCAAAAATCTCTGAAGTTCTTTCTTCATCAGAAAGAAGATGAATCACTTCATAGGGTTACTGTGAGGATTAAATGATGTCACATGTTAAATGAGCATAGTGCCCAGCATACAGAAGGCACTTTAAGGGTGACAACAATTTTGTTCTTATGAAGGAGAATTCCTAGTCCATGGCTTCTGTCGGAAGGAAAGTTCTGCAGTCACTTCATACATTCCCTTCTCAAAGACACAGGTTCCCCAAAAAGACACACATACCTGCGGCTGGAAATCAACTGGTTCGAGGCCCCGGCACTCAAACTCCACAATTGTCTTGAACTTCTCATTGTCTTCAGCCTAGAAAGGAAGTGTGTTGCGGAGGTAGGCCAACTATGCTCTCAGATGACCCCATGTCCTGCCATGTGGGCTTTACTGTTCCTGTGAGCCTAGAATGGGACCCAGGAGTAACTCCTCCATTCTGAAAGAAGCCCGCCTTGGGCAGTGCTCCCCATGAGACCCTCTGTGGGGAGACTCTGGCCAAAGGAGTATTTGAAGTGGATGGGAAAAAAGGAAGGACTTTCTGGACAACAGTTCAGGAGTCCCAAATGCATAGTTAAGAGTTTAGAGCAGAATCTGCAGGACAACAGTCAGAAGAATTAAAAGCAGTTTGTTCTCAGAGATGTTTGCATTGGCCATCATGTCCCCTCTGCCCCGATAGGATTACTTAAACTAGACAGAGGTGTCATACAACGATCCCATCCCAACCCTGTCCCCTGACCAAAACTCCTATAGAATATTTTCCAAATGCTTTTCTTTTATATCTTTGTTCTCATGTCCTTAAGATACAAATAAAGAAACCCAGAGGTTTCAGCTCGTTGCTCTTTCCCAGAGGCTCTCTTATGCCCAAGAAGCAGTCCAAGTTCTCGGTGACTGAATTAAACCTCATCTCTGAGTAATCTTTTCCATCCTGTGTGCAACCACAGTCACACACTGTGACAACCCTCAGTGGACATGGATGATGCAGAAAAGGGATGTAGATTTTGGGGTCAGCCTATCTGGATATCAGGCTGAGCTCTGCCTCTCTTCCCCTTGGGGCATTAGAGTTCTAAAATGTCAAATGGAGCTGAGGAAACCTCTGCAGGTTACTGTGAGAATCTGAAATATGTGTAAAGAGCCCAGCACAGGAGCTAACACTAAACCCAATAAATAGTAGATAAAATCACCAATGGAATATTAAGCTACAGTCTCCAGATAATCCAAATGGTCCCAGTTCACTTAGCCATAACCTTTTGCTACTACTGTCATGCAGCAAGGGCAGAGAGCTGCCTTTGTTAAAGCCTTTGGAAAGGGATGTGTGTGGAGAGGCAGCTCTTTGGGAGTGGGGAGCCAGGAAATGCATGCCTACCTGACCTATAGGTTTAGAAACCCCAAGTCCCACACCCACACATTCACTCATCCTCTCACTCACTGTAAACATTGTTTCCTGCACTTCAACTACATGTCTGGCACTGATGGATCTTGGTTGTGAGCTGGTCTGCATCTTTTGCTACATTATGATTGACTTCAAGGCAAGTCCACATTTAATTGTGTTCTTCAATTTCAGGATATTGTGAGAATTTGACATAATTCAGATACTTTTAATATCCAAGAAAAAAATGCAAATAACTGCCATTCTTTACACAGACCCAAAGGACCCCCCCCCTTGGGCTAACCTGTTACGGAGTACTGCACAACTATCTAACAATAACACTGGCAGTCTCCAAGATGGGTTGCACCAAAGGACTGTCCCATCCATGGTTTCTGAGAAGACCAGCTAGTCCCCTAAGATGTAGACAAGGCAAGTGCTCTTGGCCATGGAAACTGAGCAGCTACCTGGTATAGGAAGGTGCTGCAATGACCTATTAATGAATCTTTTCTTTATCATCCACGTAGTATATGGCGAATAAGTAAGTGATTAAGCAAATGAACAACTGAGTAAATTAAAGAATAAGAAATATGTGAATGTCCTATAGCAGGTCCCTCTGATGTAGCTATGACCCTAGAAACTAGACCTCTCCATTTTCAGTTTATATGTCATCCCACCGTGCTTGCCACCACAGCAGCCAACTTACATTATAAGGTTTGATGGTGCCGCTCAGAATCTCTGAAACATAAAAGAGAAGACAAAGTTCACCTGAATCCATATCCAAGCTCTACCCTAGTGCCCCGATGTAGCTCTGGGAAAGACAGACAACCGCAAAGGCTTTAACACCTCAGGCCTGAGTACACCCACAGGTAATATGAGCCTTTCAGGGCGGTACCAGAAAGCTGTGGGCCATCCTGGCAGAACTCAGTAATCACAGCCTGACCTACCGATGGAATTTTCCCGTGCACACAGCTTGCACTTCTGGACCATAGAGGCACTGCCACGGCCTCCCTTCAATGCCACACTGTCCTGCCAAAGAGCAAACAGAACCTCTGATCACATATCAATTTGATGTAAGGCTCCTGAGACTCCATCCTTCCACTTATTACCCAATTGAAGAGACCAGGACCCAGAGAGGTCAGTGACTTGCTAAGACAGGAATCATGGAGAACAGAGGTGCACCTCAGTATTCAAGTACACACTTAGTGTGTACAAACCCCTGGGTTCAATCTGCAGCACCAACAAAAAAGATCCTGGGAAGGCTTATTGGGACCGAGGAAGGGTTCCTTCTTGAACTCTGCCTATCACAAAATCCCTTTTGTTCCCAGTGGTGATCACATTGATGCCTTCCCTCCCAAATCACAAAAAGTAGGGTCCAAAGGACTAAAGAGATGAAAGCTAGTTTCTCCAAATTCCTGCCAAGAGGTATATTTGTGTGTGTGTGTGCGCGCGTGCATGTGTGTTGGAGAACACCACTTACCATCAGTCGGATGTATTGCCACTTCTCTGAAATTTCACCACAGTTGCCACATTTCATCTTGGGGGTGGTGGTGGAAGGGAAAAGAATACTAGTAAAGCAGCTGCGGACAATGTGAGATAGGCTCATAACTCACCTTCTTACTGACACTCTCCATCTTTACAACCAGCCTCAACAAAGATATAACCAGACTTATCTGTAGGCCAAAAACATCCAGGTGTTTTTCATGTTGGGATACCTGCCTTCCTCTATGAAGGACCTGCCTGGCTAAAGATTCAAGGCTTAGGTGGTACAGAAATGGCTTCAACAGGGCCCCAGCCACTCGGCCTGGTTGGGAGATTACTTTGTGTCCCCACAGGCTCTGTCGGTCCCTGATTTAAGTGTTTACTACACTGCTGTTACTCTATCTGTCTCCATCACTAGACTCTGCTTCTTGTAACCAAAGAACACTGACTCCCCCACATAAACCCTGGAGCTCCAGCTTCAAAAATGTTTGGAAATAAAAGTCAAGGGTGCTTCCTATCGGACAGAGCTTTTGACTGGTTTAGAAGGATTCTGGGATTTGGACTAGAACAGAGCAGAATCTCTGGGATCTGTGACAGGGAAAGACCTTAAATTGTTCGGATAAGAAGAGGACCTCTGCAGAGCTTGCTACTAGGGTACCAGGCTTATCAATGCGGAGTGGGGAAGGGTAGATAGATCATGCACAAAATTAAGCTATTTCACAGTACAACCTGATCAACAAAACAGGAGGTGCTTATTTACCTTATTAAAAAAATCACAAGATCCCTTCAAGTAGCATTTCGATTAGTGTCTATTTACTGATCACAAAATATTTAACAAAAGGAAAAATTACACATTTTCCAAGTCTGTCAATTAAAGATGAACCAGTAAAGTTAAAAAGAAAACCTAAAAATTTAGCCTTAAAAACCCTAACATTTAATGTCTGCTTAAATATTTCTCATGCTGTAGATACTGAGGTCAGGGCGGGCCACACCTCCCCGGAGGCCCCAAGGTACCCACTGCCTCCCAAACGTTCATCCCTTCTCAGGGCCCGCTCCCCCCAGCCCCGCACCTTGAGGTACCACCGGAAGTCCTCGCCCAGCGGCCGGAGGTTGGTGATGTTCTCCAGCGTAGCTCTGAGCTGCAGCGCGATTTTCTGAAGGGAGGGCGGGCCATACTGTCAACAGCAGCGGCGCCGGCCCGGCCCCAAGACCCCAGCTCTAGTTCTGCCGCCCACTCCCTCTGCACGACTTCGCTCCCATTATTCCCTCCTGGCTCGGGCCACTCCCTTCCAGATCCTCACCACTTTCCCCCTGCCGCTATCCCGCGCCTGAAAGCGGGCGACCGTCCACTCACCCCCATGATTGTCCGGCTCAGTACAGCGCAAGCTACTTTCCACCCTGTCGTAAAAGGAGGCGCTGCCTGCAAATTTTGGCTTGGTCCGGGGGGCGGGGATGGGGGCGGGGATGGGGCGGGGCGGGACTCCAGCTGCCGCTGCCGCTACCCTGCAGGTAACCTACCCCGTGAAACTTTCCCTGTAGGTGAGCTGGAACCCGTGGTCAATCCGGTGTTCTGGCCCGTGTGAAACTGGCCTCCAGGAATTGGTAGTGCCACAGATACGAAACCCCGATTTTGTGCCGGCACTAAGTGGACAAGACAGAGCCTGGCCCTCGGTTCTCTTTTCTGGCTCAACTCTACTCTGCCTGGCCTGAGTTTTCTGGATTCATCCTGGCTCCGCTTCCCTAGGGACAGCGTCGTGGATTTGGGAATGGTGTCTTTCTTCTCTAAACTACTTCCTCTGGAGCTGCCCAGTAACCTGGTTTCTAGATTCTCTCCAAGGAACTGCCCATGTCCCCGTCCGTCTCATCGTGGCTCCACTGACTGGACACGCCACTCCAGTGGGCTCTCCTCTGTGCTCCCACTTGCCTTAGCGTGTCGCGCCTTTACGATATCATACAGGGGCTGTGGGCATCTTTAGATGGCACCCCCCCATCCAAGACTTACATAACCTTTTCGAGATCCTCAGTGTCTTTAAATTTGAAGTGACTTTTTTTGTGTACTTCACCACCAGGGCACCTCACTGCCCTGGGACTTGGAATCAGGAACCCTAACACGTCGAATCACCAGGCTCCCCCTGACTTGCCCCATAATCTTTAAAGGAGGCACAGTAAAGTGCGGTGGAAAAAGCACTGGCCCACGTTAAGAACCCTTGAGACGTGGGTTCTTAGGGTTGTGAGCTCAGTACTATCACTTGTCCTTTCAGTTAAATGACTTATCAAGGCCCACTTCTTTCAGCAGGTGTTACCTAGTCAACCTGTAATTTGCCTAAAGAAGCCATACAGTTTTTTGGGTTTTGGCGGTACTAGGAATTCAACCTAGGGCCTTTGTATCTAACTGCACCACTAGAATTTTGTTGAGTTGTTGCCCAGACAGAACTTGAACTTGTGATTCTCCTGCCTCTGCCTTCCAAAGTGCTCGGGTTACCGGTGGCACCATCAGGTCACTACAGGTCGATCTACCTAGTGAGCAAATTCCCACACTATCTGTACCAACTTGGTCTTTTTTTTTTTTAACTTGGTCTGGTTTTTTTTTTTTTGGTACCAGGGATCGAACTTGGGTCCTTGCGCTTGCGGGGCAGGTGGTGGAACCACTGAGCTAAATCCCTGGGCCTAACTCAATCTGTTTTTAATGGCTGCAGGTTTTCTGATTTTAGAACGGGTTACCGGGAAACTTTTCTGCAAGTTTCAGGCATTTCATCCCCTGTATTACACCAAAGTATTCCGCCTCCCCTTCATCCACTGAAATAGCTACTAAAATACAGATGTCTGTAAAAGGTAATTTAAAAACTCCTAACCACAACGCCATTTCACATTGAATAACTTAATATTTCATTAAAATCTTAAAAAAACCAACGTTTAAATGGTGTCAACTTTAAATTTTTCGATCATGAGCCAAATAGGGCCAAATACTACACTGACTCGTTTGCTGTTTTATTGTTGTTTTGTATTACTAGGGAACAAACCCTTGCACATGCCAGTCAAGTGCTCTACAACTGACCTATTCCTCTGAATTTCCTTTATAGCTTTCCCGTTTCCCTTTCAGTTATTTAAGACACTAAGTCATTTGTCTGGAATTTCCTCTGAATATTGCTGATTAGACTCTCATTATTTTTTAACATGTTTCTCCGTTTTCTTTTTTCCTATGAAATGGTAGTTTTTGTACAGTTGGTTAGTTGTGGCAATACTTCCCAAGGATTTTGTTTGACAAAGTAAGGAGAGTTCACACATTCAGATCTTTTAAAAATAACAAAAATTGGATTTTTATCATTTATTAGACTATAGCTTATAAAAAATATTGCCTTGATATACACAAAAATTTCCTGATAATGGTAATTAAAAACTATTCCTACCCCCCTCATGTCCAATATCCAATCTAAATTGGTTTAATCTTAAAGTGTAATCCAATAAGACTGAAGACCAAACACTTCAGGTCCTGGACAAGATAATAAAATACTCTTAAGCCTTCTGGGTCCCTAAAATGCAAGAGAAAAGAAAAATTAAAAAGCTGAGAAAAACTGGCAAATCCCCTCTCCTCAAAAAACAAAACAAAACCCAACAACGAAGTGTTCCTTGTAATTATATTTACAGTATAAAACTCTGAACAAGCACATGTCCATGAAGAAGGAAAAGGCTACGTATTAAAATGGAATATTAGTGTGATAATTTAATGTTGAGTTTTTGGGGGGAGGGTGGGGAAATATATTAAGTAAAAGAAAATCATGATTAAAATAACAGATACTTGATCTTAAATGTTTTTGGCCTTTAAAAACTATGTATTTTCTAATGCACAGAAGAAAAGACCATAAAGATACATTTCAAGATATTAACAATGGCTGTACCTGTGTGCTCCACATCTGTGGGTTCATGGATCAAGTATGTAGTATACCTATGATGGTTGCATCTCTAATGGACATGTTCACAATTTTTCCTCGTCATTATTCCATAAATAATACAGTAAGACAACCATTTACAAAGTAGTAGGTAATATAATCAAGAGATGATTTAAAGTATACATAAGGACATGCAGAGATTATATAAAAACACTACACCATTTTATATAACAGACTTGAGCACCCACAATTTTGGTGTCTGCAGTGGGTCTTGGAACCAATTCCCTCTTAATACTTACAGATGACTCTAATTTAGAGACCTCACTATTGAGGGGACAAAACCACCCACCTCTGTCTTGCATTTGCACCAGATCTTCCTATCATGGTCCCAATTTGGTAACCATTTATCAGTTTTCTCCAAAACAGACACAAATGGATATAAGGATCATATACTTACTTGGACTGATTGACATCAATAAGAGAACCAATTTTTGATGTTGTGAAAGAAATGTGTTCATCTCCAATGACGATTTCAAGCTCCTACAAACATTTAAAAAAACTAAATTGGGCAGAACTGGATTATTCATTAAGCACACAGGAGAAGGGCGTATCACTTGCCAAATCACCCAAATTCTACTATAGGTGGCCACTTAAGCAAGGGCAGCTTACTCTAAACACCAAACTCCACGAGACACCAAAAAGAGACAACATGGTTTAGCCCTTGAGAAGCTCATCCTCTATAAGAAGCTGTGCCTCCAGGCCGCATCTTTTCTGAGATTTAAAAGAATTTACATACCAGTTTGTATTTGGGTTTTCACTGTTAACAATGTGGAATAACACAGATAGATATTTTTAAATACCTAAGGTTCCAATCTTTTTGTGCAACATGGGCTAAGGAAAAGTATTTGATCTCAGCTTTGCCATTCACTCTCAGGCTGTATGACCTTGGGTCTTGTTATGGCTTGTGTATCTAGATGTCCACTCCAAAGTCTCATGTACTCATAGGTGGAGTTTTCTGGAGAAGGCTGGATCTACACTATGTGAATATGGATTAAGGATGTGTGACAACTAAATTAGTCCATTGACTGGTTTAGCATAGTTCTGAGTGTAAATAATGGAAAGGCCCACCCTGGGTGTGGTTGGCACCAGCCAATAGGCTTGTAGCCTGAATAGAGTTAAAAGAGAAGGAAAGCTTGCTGCTCACTGCCTCTTGTTGGCCCTGCCATGAACTAATTCTCCTCCTGCCTTGAAGCCAGCTAACTTTGAACTAAAACCTCTACAAACTGTGAGCCAAAATAAACCTTTCCTCCTTTAACTTGCGGGTGTCAGGTATTTTGTCTCAGCAATGAGAAGGCAACTAAGACAATTTCTAAATACACAAGTACCATAAACCTTCAAAAACTCTGGGGGTGCATACTGTGTGCCAGGTATTATCCTCAGTGCTCAGGACAGAGCAGCAAACTCTAACAAACCAAGGATCTGTCTTGTAAAATTTTCATTCTAGTGAGCCCTAGTTTACTCCTTCTTACATTTATTTATTTATTTTGTTTGAGACAAGGTCTCACTATGTAGTTCAGACTGGCCTTGAACTCACTATGTAACCCAGGCTGACCTCAAACTTGCAGTGATCCTCCTGTCTCAGCCTCTCAAGTGCTGGGATTATAGTAGTGTACCACCATGCCTGGCAGTTTACTTCTTTTTAAAAGAAATATCACAGAGTTTATGTCCATCTCTCATTCTGTTCTTCTCACATTCCCAAAGTTGTTGGGGTATATTCTTTTCACTTGTGTTTTTAGATCTAGTAGTATGTTTTTAAATAAATGGTCATGGTTTAATTTTTTTACTGTTTGTTATTCTAATGAATCTGAAATTGTATCTTATTGTTGTCCTAATTTTCAGTAATGAAGCCGCAGATCTTTTCATGTTTATTGGCCACTTACTTTGAGTCTGTAAATTATCTACTTATAACCCTTATATATTCTGTCACTGGGTTATCTTTTTAACTTTTTTTGTGGGGGTGGGGGATACTGGGAATTGAACCCAGGACCCTGTTCAGCTCATGCTAGGTAAGTGCTACAGCCCCAATTTTTTTTTTTCCTTTTGAGACAGTGTTAAGTTGCCCAGGCTGGCCTTGAGATTCTCCTTTCTCAGCCTCCTGAATGGCTGGGATTACAGGCATGTGCTAGCAGCCTGACTGCTAATCTATAGTTCTTTATATATTCTGGATAGAAACTCCTTGCCAGTTATGTTTTACAAACAGCTTCTCCTAATTTGTGGGTTATCTTTCAACTTATCTTGATGTTGTTTGTCAAACAGAAATTTTTAAAAAGTTGAATTTGTCAACCTTTTCCTTTGAGTTTAAAAAACTTCTCTAACCAGAAATAATAATAGTTTATATTTTCCTCTGCTTTAATTTTTTGCTTTATTTCTAAAAATGTTCTAATTTTAAAAATATTACACAAATACGCCATGAACTGTCCTGGTATAATCTGTTGAACAATCTATCCTTTTCCTATCTATGTAAAGTCGACCTCTGTAATGTACTGGTCCAAGTTCCCATCTATTTACGAGTGTATTTCTCAGCTTCCTATTCTGTTCCGATAGTTTAGTTGTCAATTTCGGAGACAATATTGCTGAATATGATAAATACCTATAGGTTTACAAGAAGTTTTCAATGTTATCTTGGCTACTCCTGCCCCTTTGATCATCCACGTTTTTAATGTTCATTCTGTTAAGTTTCTAGAAAAAAAAAATCCAATTGTGATTTTGGTTTGAATTGGAATGAAATAATAAATTATTTTGGTGAAAACCAACATCTTTATGATACTGAATCTTCTCATTCATAAAGATGCATATTTATATGTCCTTTGATAAAACCCTTTCCATAAGTTTTGTGCATCTTCTTAAATTTGTTCAAGTTCTTTATAACTTTTGTTGCTGTTATAAAGGGATAAAATTCCAATGGAATGAGGGGGTCTTGTGACCTACCTACTCTCTGACAAAGATAGAGCAGAGAATGTTCCTTTAGGCTACGTGTTCCAAGACAGAAAGCTGGGGGAAGATTATAGGTTCTATGACCCATTTTGAAAAGGGAGTTACAAGCCAGGTACTGTGATTAAAAACCACTATATATAATCACAATATTAATTTAATAAATACTATTGAGTTTTTTATCATACACTGGTAATTTTTTAGTCACTAGAGATATAGTGATGAAAAGAACAGGTAAAATCCTTATACCAAAGGAGTTTGCACTTCTGTATGTGTCTGTAGATAATTAAAGAAAAGCAAACAAGAAAAAAAGTGTTTTTTAAAGCAGTGTTAGGGACTGAACCCAGATCTCATGCATGCTAGGCAAGGGTTCTACCACTGAACTATATCTCCAGCTCTAACTCAATCTTTTAATGATAAATGCTAGTAACAAAACAAAAATTTATTTTTAAAATGATGGGGAGGTATTTCTTAGATTGGATGGACAGAAATCACTGTGGAGGTGACTTGTGAAAACTTCAATGACAGCACTGAACAGAGTTGATGCGTACTCTAGGAAGAATGGGGCAAAGACCCTCAAGTAAAAGTAACCTAGGTACGGTGTGCTAGGAGAGTGGGCTGATGCACTTGGTCCACAGCATCAGGGACTATGGTGCTTCCGAACATCCTGATCACCAGTATACCAGGAGTTGGAAAAACCACACTAGGCAAAGAACTTGCATGCAGATCAGGACTAAAGTACATTAATGTGGGTGATGGAGCTCGAGAAGGGGCATTATATAATAGTATGATGAAGAATATGAGTGTCCCATTTTAGATGAAGAAAAAGTGGTTGATGAGTTAGAGAACCAAATGGCAGAAGGTGGAGTTATTGTTGACTACCACGGTTGTGATTTCTTTCCTGAATGATGGTTTCATGCAGTTTTTGTGTTGAGAACAGATAACAGTATATTGTATGAATAACTTGAAACAAGGGGTTATAATGAGAAGAAACTAAGAGATAATATCGAGTGTGAGATTTTTCAAATTCTTTATGAAGAGGCCATGTTATCATACAAGGAAGATATTGTGCACCAGCTGCCCAGCAATACTCCTGAAGAGCTAGAGGACAACAAAAACCAGATCTTGAGATGGACTGAGCAGTGGGCCAAAGGTCACAACCCATGACTGGTCACTTGGTGGTGCCTCTTTGCCTACCTTGTAGACACTGCACCCAAGTACCTGTAAAAACCAAAACTATATGGAAGGCCCAGCAGGTATTTTTATGACTGGGTTTCTTTTTCTCCATAAGAAAGTTAAACAATCACAAATATAATGAATACAATTATTATTAAGCATTTAAAATACTCATCCATTGCTAAACAATAAATCTGATCAAATGGGATAAAAAAAATAACCTAAGTATGTATGGAGAACAGAAATGAAGTTAGTAAAGTTTGAACACGAGAAGAGGTTGTCAGTGGTAGAAGGTTAGGTAGGAGTTTGGATTTTTAAGTGCACTGGGAAGCCAGTGAAGAGTTTAAATCAGTGGAATATGTAAACAAATTTACCTTTTTAAGGACCACATTGGCTTTAGGATGGGAACATGGGCTGTACCCGAGGAGAAACAAGGAAATAAATTATAAGTCTGGATTAGGACAGTAGCAGCCAAGAAGGAAATATCTTTTCTGTTAATTAAGTCAAATATGAAAATGGCTTCACTGTTTTATTTATTTTTGTAGTCCCACAATACTCTGTCCAGATATTAAGTGAGGTGGACAACAAAAAGCTCTAGGGCAGGGGGAGATAACAAGTAGAAATTCAGGGCTGGGCTCTAGGTGGCCAGCAGCACCACCTGCTTTTCTGATCCTCCCTATGGAATTATTGCTTCCTTACACCAAGGTATGGTAATTTGCTTCATAAAAGGCTCCACAACACACACACACACACACACACACACACACACACACGGGTTCAATGTCACACACACAGAGCAGTAAACCTTATATTCATTTCAGATTTCTATACTACAGAACAGTCAATGCAACACTCACCTGCCGGCCTACTCGGTCAGGAGGAGGCCACAAAGCGTCATCCTCTTTGGTAATTTCACTGTCATCAATTATTCTCTTCAGTTCCTCCATCACACTTTTATGTACATAGGCCTGAAAGCAAGTTAAAAAACAGAATGCAGGGTGTATCTCTAAGCAGCACTCTTGACACAGACAGTGATGGAAGACAGGAGTAACTGTTCCCGAAGACCTATTCCTGGTGCCTCAGTAAGTAGGAAGACATTCATGCTAGATCTCAGCATGTTGAAGAGGGTCAGGGTAAAAAGTGCCTAATGACAACACTCTAGTTCCCCAACTAGTTGAAACCACCCATTCACACGTATCTTCTACTTGCTCACCCATCCATCTTGGAGCTGAGCCCAAACAGACCTGTGAATGTCCCTGCTATGGTCTGAATGTTTGTGTTCACTCCAAAATTTGTGTTGAAATTTAATCCCCAACATGATAGTATTAAGAGGTGGAGCCTTTAGAAGGTGATGAGGCCATGAGGGCAGAACCTCATAAAAAGACTAAAGAAAAGCAGGGCATGGTGGTGCATGCCTGTCATCCCAACACTCCAGAGGCTGAGGCAGGGGGATTGCCACGAGTCTGAGGCTGCCCTGGGCTACACAGTGAGATCAAGGCCAGCCTGAACTACATAGTGAGACCCTGTCTAAGAAAAACAAAAACAAAAGACTAAAGAGAATTAGTTGCCCCTGTTCTTGCTTTTGCCACTGAGGACAGAGTGTTTGTTGCTTCTAGAAGATACAGCAATGTGACACCATCTTGGAAGCAGAGATTGAGCCCTTACCACACACTGAACCTGCCAGGGCCCTGACCCTGGACTTCACTGAGACATAAATGCCTATTACTTATAAATTATCCAGTCCCAGATATTGTTAGAGCAGCACAAATGGGCTGATATACACCCACACTCAGTGGTATGGTTTGAACATGATTTGTGACCCCTCAAAGGTTCATGTTACATTAAAGGCTTGGAGGCCAGTATGGTAGTACTGGGAGGAAGTGCAGACATGGGACCTAATAAGACATCAGTCTGTGCTCCTGGTCTGAGATTAGTCACTGCTCACAAATGTGCTCTGCCTTCGCTGTCTATCCATGTGTGGGGTAACAGTCAGGAGGCAGTCAGTCCTTATTGACCTGCATGGTGCCACTTGGGACTTGGAACCTCCACAACTGTGAGCTAAATAAACTTTATTAGTACCCTGTGTCTGCTAACTAATACATCTGGGTATTAGATAACATAATTCTGAGAAACAGAGACACATTTTTTAAAATACACTTTGCATACTGGCCCAGGTTAAAAAAAATGGGGAGATGTTGATGTGTGACTGAGCGTAAAATCAACTTAATTGAACAGTATACAAAGATACTGGGACATTTTCAAATGTGACAAAATGATTAAAAGAGTAACTCAGATGAAGCCTTAATGTGTGATAGAAATCACAGCACAATGGGAACACATGGATTTCACCAAATTCCTGCTGTTAATCTCTACAAGCAGAATGATTGTGACCACATCCCATACTTAATATCTGGGCCTTCGTTTTCTTATATGTAAAGGATATAATATTCCCATCACATGGGCTTATAATCAGCATTAAATAAGACTCTCTCTCTCTCTCTCTATATATATATATATGTTAAATACTTCATGCCACGCATAGTATCTAACATGCATTCAATGATGTTAACTGCCTTCCCATGTGCTCCTTTCTCTTTTAGATGCTAATTAAATAGGTCTCTTCATTGAGTGCTCTTGTGGCAGGAAATATATCAAGCATTTTAACTAAAACATACTTAATTCTGGGGAACTATCAGAGGGTAATCAATCCTCCAACTCCCTAGAAAGGGAGACAGTGAGGGCTAAAGAAAAAAAGGCAACAGAGACTTGCATAATTTCAAAGTACATGAGGGCTGGGAGGTCAGTGCCTCAGAGTGGACAAAGCCAAAGACTCTCCAAGCTAGCCATCATTTATTGGGTACACACAATAATTGGAGGGAGTTATCAGGCGACTTAGGGGCCAGAGGTAACCCTGTATAGATGAGGATCTTATGCTGATGAAGATCTTAGGTCACGAGGTTCTTATGTTGAGGAGGACTGTAAGGAGAGGCTTCTTGCAATAGTAGGTGGGAGGAATTTGTCCCTTCCCAGGTGAAACCTTTCTCTTACTACTCAGTTCTCAAGGACCCAGGATGTCTTCAGCTGATGTAATCCTGCCCTAGAGTGTCACAGATTCATGGGACCACTGAGGTTTTAGCTGTGACTGGAGGCGAAAATGGAGTTATGTTTTGACATGCCATAGCTGGCCTGTAGGCAGGAAAACTAGGTCTAATCATAATTCGTGAAATGATTTTTCCCCCAAATTAGATAGAAATGCTCCCGACAGGGAACTGTGTTTGTACATGAAGAAACAGAGTCATAAAGTTCAGGAAACTTGCCTAAGGCCACATGGTTAGTAAGCAGCAAATTGAGGCTTCAAACCAAGGTACACTAGCCTTCAAATATTTACAAGTCATTGATTCATCATTGTAAAGGAAATGCATACTAAAAAATTTGAAAAATAATCTAGAAGGTGTCAATAGGCATTTATCTACTTCCCTATTCTTTATCTTTTGATTTACTGTTTTTTTTTTTTTTTGGTACCGGGGATCGAACTTGGGTCCTTGTGCTTGCGAGGCAGGCTGCGGAACCACTGAGCTAAATCCCCGGCCCTTCTTTATCTTTTAATAGTATTCCTACAAAGAACCCAGACAATAGAAAATAAAAGGCTAAATGGTAGTGAATGAAAGACTCCTACCTCTTTTCTGATCATAACATCATTTTTGTAATTGCTGTTGTTGGCATATCTCAATTTCCCTGTGAGGAGCAAAACATAAATCCAATATACAATAAATATATATGAATAAATCATCATGAGCCTACCCAGACTACCAGCTGTTTCCTAAAATGTATCCTAAGTGCTCTTCAAAGTGACTAACAGATTTACTATTTATGCCTTTCATGTGTCAACATTACTAGTCTTTTCAGTTCCTCACTTTAGGCTATTAAACAGTCTCCTCGCAAAACTACAGCTGACACTGAACTACAGTTCAAGCAAGAGACATGGTATGGTAAAAGAACACAAAGAACACAGACAGGCTCTTTTGTGACTTTGACAAATCACACTTCTGTAGGTTAATGTCCTTAACTGACAATAAGGATTGTAATTGAAAACTTACCCACACAGAGCATGTGCTGAGGTTCAAATGAGTCATAAATGCACTTTGAAAACTGAAGGATGCAGTTCACATATTATCATATGACTATGCAGCACTCTGATCTATATTTGTGATGGAAAAGTTGTGCTTTTATCATTGAGCATACTTGGCTCACAAGGCCCTTTGTGCATATATGCAACCAACAATAGGCTAGTTTGGGTATATGGCAGGGATGAAGGAGATAATAAAAGAAAGTAGAAAACATGTTTTTTCCACCATAGAAAACACATGTATAGGGCTGGGGATTTAGCTCAGTGGTTCTGACTCCTGCCTCACAAGCGCAAGGTTCTGAGTTCGATCTCTGGTACCATTAAAAAAAAAAAAAAGAAAACACATGTATAAAGAGTCAAATAATTTATTCTGAAAGCCTTTGCACTGTTTGTCTCAAGTCTTCCATTTCAGTTCATTCTCTACACAGTGGATAAGGCGATGTAGCAACAGATCCATCTGATTAGATTACTCTAATGCTGCCGGGGATTTAGCTCAGTGGTGCAGTGCAGGGTCCCGAGTTCAATCCCCAGTACCAAAAAAAAAAAAAGATTAATTCTATGATACCGTCAGTGGTTTCTCTCTGCCTTCCTGACAAAATCCAAACTCCCTGTCATGGCATACAATTAAGCTGAGCCCCTGCTTTCCTTTCCGGCCTCACTCCTGCAATAGTCTTCTCTCACACAGGCTGAGTCAAATTACTTTGTTTCTGCCTAAAACATCCCACCAACTTTCTAGCTTTCAGCCTCTTTGGTGTGAATGCTATCCAAAATGCTTTCTTGACTCTTCTTGGTCCCCAAACCAATTCCTACTCAATACTGCACATCTTCACTCCAACCCCATCATTTTATGTGAAAAGCTTTCTTTCTCCAACCCTCAGGCTGGATTAGGGGCCTCCTCTTTGCTCCCAAAGTTTCCTGTTTCTTTGTACCGTAACACCTAATACTGTGTTTTGTCACAATTTGTTATAACAAATCTATCTCCCTCATTATTGGGGCTTGTCAGATTCATCCTTGTGCCCCACTTAGCTCAAGTTTTCAATCATCCTTGATTCCTCTTTTCTTCACCATCATGAAGAAATATTATCCCAGATATTATATCTCAAATATTATCCACCAGCCATGTCCAATTACTTCTGCCTCCAATAGTATTGTAAATCCTCTCCATTCCTATTACCACCCCAGTGCCAACCAACATCTGTTCTGTCTTGACAACTGTCACTACCTCCTCATTAAGGATCTTGTTTTCACTCTTGCCCATACTTTTTTCCTCTAGTTTTGGGGATTCAACCTAAGGCTTCATGCATGCTAGGCAAGTACTTTATCACTGAGCTACACTCTTGGCTTCCCATTCTTGTCAATTCTGCACCCAACAAGACCTGTTTTTCAAGAACAGGTCACTGGGCCAGGGATTTAGCTTAGTGGCACCGCGCCTGTCTCGAAAGTGCAAGGTCCTGAGTTCCATCCCAGTACCGAAAACAAACAAAAACAGGTCACATTTTTTCCTTGCTTAAAACTTTACAACTGCAGCCTGCTGCTGAGAGATAACCAAACCTTTATCAACCTGTAAACACCTATACGCTATGGCCCCTACCCATCTGATATCATTATTTTCAGCCACCTCACTGGCCATCTGAAATATGCCTGGCTCTTTCCTGCCCTTGACACAAGCTACTCCCTCTATAGAATGCTCTTTCTCCTGAGCTTTACAAGGCTGGCTTCTTCTTGTCAATCAGGACTCAGTTCGAATAGCCACTCCTCAGAGAGCTCTCTAAGGCCACTCTAACTAAAAGGAGCCCATCAGCAATCATTCCAACATTTGTTTTCTGATCACTCATGACTGTCTAGAATCTTTTTGTTTATGATCTCCCTCCTAGCACTGAACACAAGTTTCACGAGAGGGAAAGATTGTCTATCTTTGTTGCTGTGTTCCACAGCACAGAACACAGCCTGCCATAAGGTGGGCGTTCAACTCATTTGTTAAACCGTAAGCAACCTGGTCAAATGTGTCACTAAACAGAAGCTTCTGCACATGGATAGAAAGAACCAAAGGAGCAGACACAGAGCGTCCCTTTTGGACCTGAGTTGCACTAGTCTCATTCTTTTCCTCTCGCTCCTGGCTCCTTCCGGACGTCCGGCCTCCCCGGCCGCTCCCAGGCCTAATCCCAGCTCCTGGCGGGCAGGAGGCTGCTCTTACCATCGGGTCGGAACTCGAACTCCAGGAACTCGTGACCGAACTTGCCTTTGTGACCCACGTAGTAACGCAGATAAAAGTCACTCTCCATAGCTCGCAAAGAACATCCGAGACCGAACTTTAGGACCAAACCACACCACCCAAACCCGCGCCTGACACTGACGTTTGGCGGCGTGCGGAAATGACGTCAAAAGCATCGCCAGTAGCTACCCGCCTTCCGGGAGGTGAGAACAAGTATGTCAAGCCCTTCATCCGGAGGCTGGAACAGGACTTCCACGCCCCTCGTCCTGAGGCGGGACGAGGCGGACTGTCGCTTTCGGAGTTTGCCGCTGGGCTCGAGGCGGTAAACCGAAGACCGGCCTCTAGGCCTCCACTGCAGTGCCTGATAGCTCGTGTGAAGACTTCGGGCCGGACGGCACTCGAGCCGGCGTCCCGCCAGGTTCAATTTTAGGGTAGGACACCGACTCTGCTAGTCGGACAAGTCCCTTCGCTGCTGTCTGGACCTCGACTCTACTGTAAAATGAGACGAAATGACCCCCCTAGGAGAACGCCGCTCTCAGTGTGTATAAAATTAGCTTTACTGAACTGTTCTGTTTAATAAAAGCCTTCTCGTGACGCGAGTCCCGAATCCACAGTGGAGACAGCGGAACTAGGTGGTCCGAGGGGAAGTTTGATCTCAGTGATTCCCAGCCCTAGCTCCATCCGGGGTCGCGTCGCACTAGAGCCTCTAAAAGATACTGAGATCTGGGCCCCATCCAAGCCCTTGAAGATCTCCAACGATGGACTTTGCTGTCGATATATTGTTTGTAAAGATTCCCAAGTGCGTCGCAGTTGGGAGCCACTGCCCAAGAGGCTGTCTTTTCAAGGCTAAAGTTCAAAAGCTAAAGCTCTGTGAAAGCTTTCTGACTGGGAAAAATGTATAGTTGAGTAGGCCAAGGACAGTCAGAATCCTAATTATGAACTCTCCTTTAGCTCATTTAAGTTACAGCTACAGAGAGAAGGGTTCTAGAGACTGCTGAGGTGACATGCTGACGCTTGGAGTGTGAACCTATTCTGTAAATCGACCCAGTAGTCTGTTTCTTAATTCCATGTCTTCACATCTAGCCCTTTTGTCCATGAAAAAGCATTGGTAGCAGAGTGCAGAGGGGTGGCCACACTGGGGACTTGGGTTAAAATAATGGTAACCGATTGACTGTGACTACTGTTGAACTGATTCAACTTTTTAGACCTCAATTGCCCTATTTTCAGAGTAAAACAGCTGGAGATATAGCTCAGTGGTAGAGCACTTGCCTAGCATACAGGAAGCCTTTGGTTCTACCTCTAGCATGGCAAGTAGTAAATAAGCACATCGGTGTTGTACACCTGGCAGCACTGTTGTAAGAACCAATGTTTTTGGAAAATATTTTGCCAAGTGTAAATCGCAGTAAAATCACGAGGCATTTTTATTACAAAACACAGTATACATATAAAGAGAAGGAATCACCAGGAATTAAGCACCTAATACATGTCACCCCCTACCCGAGCCCATCTATATGTGTGTGTTCTTTGTATCACAACAATCTTGAGGTGATAATTGGAGTTAAATACAGAGACATCCACTGGTTGTCATAAGATGGTTTTCCAAGAGTAAAATTATAATGTAACAGGTTAATCTGGGCATCAGCAGATGTGGCATATAAAAATGCTGAGAATTTAAAGGACATTTGACTCAGCCTGGAAAGTAATCCAGTTTTGGACAGGACAGAGACAACATAGCTGAAAGAGTGTGCTTCGTGTGTCTGCAGTGTTTGAATTTGGCATCATTTATTGAGTACTAGGTATCATGTGCCGGGGATACAATGTTAGAAACACAGATCCTTATACAGCCTGCAGTGGGGGCAAATAAGAAGCATAAAGGCAATTACAATGTAGGGATAAGAGTTACCAATAGAGGAAGCACTGAATACTCTGAAGGCGTGTGGCATGGCTCCTAATCCAGTCTAGAGGACTGAGAAAGCTTTTCTGAACACTTTTCCAGACACAGGGCCCAGCACTGTGTGATTAGAATATAGTGGAGTGGGTGGTGTTAAGGCTGGAAAAGGGACAGAAGCCAATTAAAGGACTTGAGTATAAACCTTTATAAGCCACATTAAAAAGCTTGAGTAAATCCAAGAATATTGAATTTTTTTTCCAGTACCGGGAATCGAACTTGGGACCTTGCATGGTCCTTGTTAGGTAGGCATGGTGCTGCTGAGCTAAATCCCGGGCCCCAAGAATATTAAATTTTAATGCAAGGGAAGCAGTTGAAGGCCTTTAAGCAAGAGAGTGAAAGAGGTGATGGTGCTATGACCTAATACATTTTAGAAAGAAAACAGGCTGCCACATTGTAGGTTGGGTTGAAAAATGTAAAGATTGGAACTAAATTCAGTAAATAGTTGTAAAAGTAACCCATGAAGGTGGTAACATAAGACAATAGTGACCTATACTCAGGTAGTGGCAATGGAAATAGAAGTGCAGATGGGTTTGAGATGGAATACCATAATTTAAGAGTTAAGCAAAGGGCACTAAAATGTGGCCAGAGGTAGAGGGAAAAATCAGGAGTATGATGTCATGGAAGCCAAAATGAGAGTATTCCAAGAAAAGAATATTGGGCTGAGGATTTAGCTCAGTGGCACCACACCTGCCTCGCAAGTGCAAAGTCCTGCAATCAATGGTGAGAGTGGCGGGGAGAATATTAAATACCACATTCAGGTCAAGGAAAATAACTTAGTGTTTACAAGATTTATAATGAAGGAGGTGTTAGATGACCTTAGTAAAACCTCAATGGCATGGGAGGTGTAGGGGGTAACTGGGATGCCAGTCGGTAAACATTATTATGGAAGCATGAAGGAGGGTTACCTAAGTGGAGTACTCAAGGACAAACGGGTCAGCCAGAAAGAGGCAGGAAAGGAAAATGTAGGGAGAGAACACTACATGGCAATTGCTCTGGGGCTACTAAAAGTAACTGAGGCTTTGGGCAGTTATTTTACCCATTTCCTCATTTATAATATGAGGATGGATAGTATTGATATCCTTTATCTAAGGTTGTTGCTGTGGTTGAGATAATTTATGTCAAATTTCTAGTACACATTAAGGACTCAATTAGTGATGGTTCATCCCCTTCATTAAAACATCACAATGAGGGCCGGGGATTTAGCTCAGTGGTTCCCACCGTCTGCCCCGCAAGCGCAAGGACCCAAGTTCGATCCATGGTATCAAAGAAAATAACAAAACAAAACATCACAATGAAACAACACTTAAAGATTTTTAAAAATGGATTTAATTTCTTTCTAGAAACATTGTACTGATTTTAAAGATGTCTACATTTGGTTTTCAGTTCACCAAGATGATGTCAGTACAGCTAGTGAGATGCAGCACACCACCTCCCGTCCCTCTGCCTCTGGAAGAGAAGTCAGACTACCCCGGGCACCAGTACAGAAGCTAACGGAACTCCAAATGACAAGACAAAGCAGAAACGGTTTAGTGTGACTGAATGTTCTACCATGCCCGATTGTTACATCAAATACAGTAATTTGGGGTTGTGCTGGAGACAAACAAGGAAAATCCATTTGTATACAATATGATGGAGTTTACAAACCAGTACTTAACCCTCAAATTAACAAGCTTCTATAGAACAGAATGCTATTTTAAAAGCACATGATCTGTACAGTTGTTTTATCTTGTAATTTTTGTAAAAAAGTATCAAAACCTTGTCTTTAAATATATATATATATATTTATACAGGTGGGGTTTTTTAAAATTACTTTTTATAGCACAAAGTGTTTGCAAATACAGAGGGTTTCTGCTGATTCTTGACCATGCACACGGTGCACAGCCTGAGTGAAGTTTCCTGATTTTTAATGTTAACTGAAAATTTGAAGCTGTAATTCCTCTACCTTCTAAAATCTTCATATCCTGAAAATTCTCTAAAAATATATTATGAGAAGATTCTTGATGCCTTATCCTCATGCATTTATGGAAAGAAAATTATTCTGAAATTTTAAACTGCTAACTCATTTATTTATTTTTCTATTTTTGGTACTAGGGATCGAACTCGGGACCTTGCGCTTTCGAGGCAGGCACCAGAACCACTGAGTTAAATGCCTGGCCCTCACTTATATTCTGTGAAATGATGAGTATGTGGTTGGAGCTGGGGGGGTGGGGTTCACATTCCTAGGGGATCCAAATGGCCCTTTCCCCATTCCCACTAGTGCCGGATTGTACAATGATTGGGATCCCCTCTCCAGACCATGTCGTTCAAATTTCCAGTTTCCTTTCTCACAGTTAAGAAAATCTAAGAGGATCTTAACATGGCATGCTTCTGTGAAAATCTCACTGCCCTTTTATTCGTTTTTATTAACTGTATCAGAAATCTCCGACTCATATGAAAAACAACCAACATTTCCCTGTGGCCACTGGAAAGCTTGAGGCTGAATAATGTTATATCTGCAAAGCACTGGCAACACATCCTAAGTTCCACTTAGTGCCCTGTACAAAATAAATGACCAAGGAATGTTTGCTTAATTAAATCAAACATTAAATATAAGTATTTTATAAAGTGCTTATGTTGAACCTGTTTTTCCATTCAGCCTCATTTCTTACTAAGTCTATTTGAGTCTTTCATTCCACTTACAATGAACTACATGCAGTTCCTTAATGTTCCCATGCTGGTTCATGCCTCAAAGCTCAGTGTTTCCTCTGCCAGAAGCAGCCTAGACAGCCCTTAATTTTTAAGACTTAGCGTAAGGTCACTTCTTCTATAATGACCCTATTCTTCCTGTCCTCAGGTATAATGACCCTCTTTCCCCACTTTGTTCCCTAATGTTACTCTACATGGAATTTACTCCTTTTTTTGTATCCACAGATGTCTTCCTCTACCATTACTGTGAGATCTGTAAGGACAGGAAACATTTAAACTGACATCTGCAGTGCCTGGTACACTGTTGGCAGCTAATAAATGGTTTTAGGGAATGAATATAATGTACTGCAATCACATAGAGATAACTGAAGGGATAGCTAGTACTTATTGCCATAAATTTAAATCCTATCTTATTTCCTTTTTGCCAGCTGAGGTTACAGTTACTTCAGTCTGTTTTAAATGTAATCACGCTATCAAGAGTAAATAAAGTTTTGGTTTTCCCTGTTTATGGAAGGCCTTTTCTACCAGTGCCTCAACAAATCCTACCAGAAAGCTGCAGGATTGGAAGCAGGTTTGAAACAATGTTCAGGGACCCCAAAGTTGTCCTGGAGAAGGAAAGGGAGGAAAAGGACTAGGCTAACTTCTTTTTTTATAAATAAAGGAAATACTGTCTACTGCCCTCTTGGTATTATATCTTAGCTTCCAGCTCTATAGTCCAATGGCTTCATGATCTGTTGTTGTCTGTAAATACAAATGCATGGGAGAGGGGGAAAGCAACAGAAATGAAAACTATATCTCAAACAAGGCTCAAAAAGCCTCCAAGAATAGGAGGAAAGTAGATCTGACTCCTCCGATTTCATCTAATTTACTGCCATCCAACATGTATTTCTCCATTTGTTTCTTGTAGGTTTCTCCCATAGCTGCCTCTTTCAAACTGCAGTTGTAGCATATTCAGGAAATAGGAATGTCTCTGAGAGAATTGTGAATTTCATCATTTTGAGGTCTCCGACTGTAAGTTCTGACCTTATTATCTTTTGTTTTTCTGTGAAGAACAGGATCTGATTGAAAATTTTAAAAGTGTGCATTAGCCAGTTATTTAATTTCCTTTGGAAATTCAGTTTCTTTGGAGGCATATTACAGAAAAAGTCATTTGTCTTATGTAAATTTCAGTGTTTCACTTTCATCACTTTTCTTGTCAAAAATAATTTTACTTTCCATTCTTGAAAGAATAGTGGTGATTAAGCTCCATAGGAGTTGGCCACCTGTTCTTAAAATTTTGTTTGGTATGGGTCCAGGTCAATTGCATTTAGCCTCTTAATCTCTCAGGACCATCAACACGTGGATATCATGAGAAAGTTGTAAAGCATAGTGCCCTGGACATTCTGGAACATGGTTATTTTCTTAGAGGTTAGGAGACCATCATTGACGTAGAGAAAGGTCCTAGGAACAGGAAGATAGAGCTCCAGATTATCCGCTCAGAAATTCAAAATGCTGGTGAGACATCCAAGCTTCAGAGTTGGGGGTGCTGGAGGGTAGGAGTAGGGAGACATTGCCTAAGTTTGTCAAGTTCCAGGTATGTTAAGGTTAGATACAGGTCGTCTGCTCCTACTTAAGCCAAGCACATCCATGTTGTACGGGTGCCTGGTTTAGCAGGAATGAAGTGGCAGAACAGCAGTTAAAAGAAAGAGCACATTTTGGATGAGAAAGCCAGTGCGACTGAATTCCTTCTGGGACTGTAGGATTATTTATCCAATTGTAGACCCCACAGATAGAAAATAGCACTTCTCCTCACCTCACCCAAGGCCAAGGAAAAGCTAAGAAAGTGTCTGTCCATAATGAAAAAAACAATCTATACATATACCCAGAGTTTTCCTTTTATTTATAAACCAGTAAAATCCCTGTGTGAACGTATTTATCCAATATGCTGTAATATTGCATATGCCATTTCCCCTCAAATATAATTTCAGGTTTGGTCACTTGTTCTGACTTAAGCCAAAATTTACTTTTTCTATGAACATATGATAGTAAGAAACCTATTTCTTAACTTTAAAATTCTTCCCCCACCTAAAAGAAATGATAGAGACTGAGGGGAAGAGAGAAATGGAGGTGTAATAAAATCTGTTCCACCATCTTTATCCTCATCCACAGCATGTCTCAGAGATTTGACATCTGAGCCAGTCTGTACAGCAAACCTGGACTGGTCTAGAAACATCTCCACTTAGCTCTGTAAGGATGGCATGCTTCAGGGTGCTTCAGAGGAAGCTTACTGGATTCAACCCCAGCATCCTGATGGAAATTAAAGAAGTTACTCAAGAGATGAACTTTAAAACAAGGATTTGTTTGTTCTGACAAGCAAGCAGGTGTGTTGCCTTTTGAACTGATTAGAACTTCTAGCACTGTGTAATACAGCATCTGTACATTGACCTTAGCCACAAAAAAGAAAGCCCAGGTGGGAGTCACAGCAGCCACAGGTGAAAAGATCTGCCTCTTCCACTACACGTTTGCACAAACCATGGTTGGTTATCAGTTTTCTGAGTCACTTCCAAAGGTTTCTCTGAAAACTGCAGGTACCCTTCTTGTGGACAGTTTTAAAATAAATTTATGTATTTGAATAGTAGCCATAGATGTGCCTCTTCTCCACAGGTTTTTCTCTCTCACACACATACACACATAAACACACATATAGAGTCTGCATGATGGGCCAAGCATACCAAAAATAAATACTTTCACTTCTCTAAATTATTTATAAACTAATCTTATTTTTGAAATATGTTAATAAATAATCTAAATGGGGGACAGAGTTGAAGTTTTTTTTTTCTTATGTTGATGGATAGCCACAAAGCATAATCATTTTATTTACAAAAACAAAACCCCAAAACCTAAAAAAGCCCCCCAAATCAAACATCCTCTGTAAATATAGTATTTAAAGGATGAGTAAGGTACTGTACCATTGGCCCCCGTTTGGTTATATACATCATGTTAGTCACTCAGCAGTAGCCATTCCATGAATTCCTCATGGGTAGTGCAACCCTTAATAGTGTATAAAACATTATACGTATAAAAACTCTCACATCCTTTGGATGTTTGCAGTTCGTAATAACTTTGTGGTTACCTTTCCGCAACATAAATTTTTAAAAAGTTACACACGCATACATACTCACTCACACAGACCCATACATAGAAACCCATCCATCCAGTCATACATCATCCAGAGAGAGCAGTGCATGGGACTGAACTCCAGGAGGCACGAAGGGGGAGGTCCCATCTTCAGGGCAGTCCATCATCTTCAAGGCTTAATGCCACTCGCTGGGGGAGACAGACCAAAGAAATCATCATTAGATCCATAAGACCTACTACTTGTTATTAAAGTATTAAACATGCCATTATTTTACAGGTATTAGCTCACATAATCTTCAAATTATGCCAAGAGACAAGATTTATGATATTTATTTTACAGATGAGAAAACATTGATTGAGCAATGTTTTTTCTGGATGATCCCAGAGCTACAGCTTGTTTCATCATTCTTTCCTAGCTCTGTAAGAGTGCAGCAAAGATCTAAACTTTTCTCCCATATAGGATTTTAGGTTGGGTCAACTTCAGTAGGTTAGTTTTGTTAAATGTTAAATCCCAGGCTATGAGCAACTTATCCCCAGGATGCTACTCACAATCAGGTAGTAACATGCTGTACCCCTTCAAACAGAAGCAGGAGGTAGTGCAAGTCGATTAAATTCAGTCCCTCTCTCCCTCATCCCTTCCCAGTCACTGCATGCTACACTCCCTTATGCTACAAATGGTTGACCTCCAGATGGGGACCCCACTAACCCCTGAGTCAGTCTGTTTCCTGTGGACAGTGGATTTAAAGTTTATAGACAGTGTTTGAATCCCCTTCCCTTCATTCTGTTTTTCTTTTTTTTTCCCTCCAGGATATACCTGTAGCTTTCCCCAGCTGGTCCTGACATAATTTCCTGGATACCCTTCTTTGGATGGACCCAAGTTTCATTATTTCTCTCATAGCTATGTGAATTGGGTGAGCCAATTAACTTGTCTGGGCCTTAGTTTCGCCATCTGTCAAATGGGAATAGTAGGACCTACCTCCTATGGTTGATAGGGAACCAAATGAAACAATGCATATGGAGTATTTAATATAATACCTAACACATACAGAGTTTGAAATATTCTACATCCACCTAACCAGCATAACTATCTTCCTACATAGGATTAAATGAAACTGTACTCCCTTTCAAGTCCTCTTTGGGTTATTTGTGGTTTTCCATGAATGCCATGGCCATGCTCCACTAACAAAGACCTTTAAGACTATTTCTTAGTCCAGCTACCCTCCCAGTCTCTACATGACAAATCTCTAGGCCAAAGACAGGCCTCAGCAGTGATGGCAGAGCTATCTGAGAAAGGACCAGGAAACACGTAGTTCAGAATACTGAGTTCCAGAGCTTTTGCAGGCTATTTATCTCATGATAGTGGGAGGAGCATCAGCTTCTGTGTGGAATTTGAATCCTGGTCCTGCTCCTTCCTGGCTCTGCCAATTCCTAGTATGATCTTAAGTGAGTTTTTCAATTTCTATGAGTCTCAGTTTTCTCATCTGCAAAATGGGCTGATAATAGGAACTCTAATTGTGAAGATTAAATGAGAAAGTGTATGTGAAGCACTGAGAACAATGTCTGACACATAGTAAGTGCTCCCAAAATATTAATTTCCTCACTGTTATCTCTATTTTATGCCATGGTCAAGAGCTTATTACTTGGGTTTAGATTCATCACGGGTAACTTCTGAGTCATTTCCTTCTCTGAAACAAGGCCACTTTATAAGTATAAAGTGCTTTGTAATTTACAAAGTGCTCTCATATGTGCTACCTCCCTTGGGCTTTCCAAACTTCTAAGGCAAGATGGAATGGGATTATTTTCATTTTACAAATAAAAGTAGAGAGACATAAGTGACTACAGGCTACAGAATGGTGGGCCTGGGAGTCACCTTTTTTACTCCAAGCTCAATGCTTCTTACACTGTGCTTTTTCTGACCTCTAAAAATTGGTTAAGCAGCTGTTTGCTTGGATTGGCTGAGGCGAGAGATCCTCAAGGCCATTTGCTAATCCTCCTAGCTTGCTTAACTTCATCTTCCATGTCTCCCTTTATGAACAGTTTGCTTCAGCAGCAGTTCTGTCTGCCCCATACTCACTCACCTTCTTCCACATGCCCATTTCCTCCTTGCCCCAACACTCACTTTTACAGTTTACAGCCTTCCAGAACCACAAAGCCTTCTAGGATTGGCTGCACCTGCCTAGGTTCAGGCCCTCACTTACCAGCCCCTCAAGGTCAGGGTGGCACTGCCCTACCTTGCACTTGACGACAGGCAGCTCGGAAAGAGGGTTCTTCGGGAGTTGGTGCAGCTGTGACTTTGGTTCCCCCGGCAAGACAAAAAGCTCCTTGAGGGCAGGGGCTGGGTCTTCCAGTTCTCTGGTCTCCCCAAGACAGGGCTCTGCCCACAGTGGGCGATCAAAGCTTCTGATTGCCTGACAGGGGGATGGACCGGATGACCTCTGAGGTCACACTCAGCCCCCTGACTCTGCCATACAGCAACCACACCTGCTCAAGTCACTTCATTGTCCTTGTTCCCCCAACAAGCCATGCTTTTTTACTAAGTCTCTGCACATGCTTCTGTCTGCAATACCACTTCCCTCCTCTATATGGAAAACTGCCATTAATCTTTCTTTCAAACACAGTTCATTTGTTACTTCTTTGTGAGGCATTCCTTGTCCATTTCCCCAGACAGACTTAATAACTCCCTTGATGTTTCCACATCATTTGTTCAACAGATTTGTTAAAAGTCAGCTATGCTGTACTGGGTGCCAGGAAGACAAGACTAATCAGATCAGATCCTGCTCTCAAGGATCTCATGTTCTAGTGGGGAGACCACTAGGTAAAACAAGTGGACTGCAGTGTGACAGGTGCGGGGAAGGAGAGAGGCCCAGCGGACTGTGGGAGGACAAAGCAAGCTGGAGAAAGCTTCCTGGAAGGGACTCCTGAGCGTCCGTCATGGCACTTAGCACACAATTATAGAATTATACCTCAGTATCTCTAAGTCCCCCCACCAGCAACTTGGGAACAAGTAATTCCTTACTTACATTTGAACACTTGATGCCTAACATAGTGCTTTGCATGTAACTGGCATGCAGTGTTTGTTGAAATGACTACATTCAAATTAAATGGCCTATACTGCCAGGAAGAGCCTCTAGGTACAAGGTGTTTCTGATACCCTGCTACCCCAACCACCTACCTCAGCATGTCTTTGTTCCCCAGGGTCTACAGCAGTGGTGGCAAACCTATGGCACATATGCCACAGTGAGCTTTTGTATCATTGAAAGCTCTAAAAGGTTCGTCATCACTGGTCTAGACAGTGCCTGGTACATGGTTGGTTCTTAATAAACATTGAAGGAATTAAAAAGGAAAGGAGGAAGGGAAGGAAGGAGGGAGGGAGGAGGGAAAGGAAGAAATTCTCCCATCAAGGAATACTTACTGCAGGGTAGACATGGCCAATCTGAGTAGTCCTCCCTATATGGAGCTCATCTTCATCTTCTTCTTCTGTTGTTTTCCTATAGACTGGGTTGTCAAAATTCATGCTCTTGGTGTTCTTCCGCTTCCAGTTTCTCCAGATCAGGTAGCCACTCAAGCACAGCAGCGCTATTACCGCTGGAGGAAGGGACACGTTACACTGGACATCCAGCAATCTCCAGCCCACTGTCCAGACATCCATGCAGATATTGCCATCTCTCTAATATTACCACCCCTTTCTCCACAGGCAGTGTTTCTGCAAACTCCTTTGCTGCTTGGAAGATTTTCTCTCATCTCTTTCTTCTAGTAACCTTCTGTCCTTTGAGATCCAGCTTAAACAGGAAGTCTCCCCCAGTTTCTCTAGGCAGAGTCTGCTCCATCATATGCACTTTTAGGCCACAGTATTTTACTTTAAATATCTTTACCTCCAACTGGACTGAGCCATTTGAAGTCAGGAACTGTCTCATTTATCTCTCTGTGCCCAGTGCCTAGCACTGGGGAGTTGCTCAATGACAGGTGCTAAATGAATGAGTGAATTTATTGCCTATATCATTTGCCCCAATGCTGCTGCTTCCCTGGATCACTAAAATAACATTCCCTCACCAAATTGGAAGGTGGAGGGGGGTGGGATAGAATATTTGTTTCCAAGCTGGGGCTCCAGCAGAAGAGGAACATTTCTAAAAGAGGCCACAGAAGGGTAACATATGCTCTGGGTTAAAATAAAGGAATACACTAATGAGTAAAAGGAAACTCTCTCCAACAGAGCTGGGCAAAGGTGGGGCAGGCAGCTTTGGAGGTAGTAAGCTATTGCTTGGAGCCTTTCGGTGAAGGCTGGATGATCACCTCTCTATCTAGGATGCTCTAGAGGGGTTGCTACTTGAGTAAGATTGCAATAATTGATACTCATTAAAGACAAATGAGACAAGAATGCTCACTGTTGCTCCTATTTATTGTCCCAGAGATTGAGCTGTGCAATATGAACAGATAAAAAATTGAAGACTGAAGCATATAAATACAGGAAAAGGAAAAAGCCAGTTTATTATTAATAGATGTTTGTATATATAAAATACATATTATTAACAGATGTTTGTATGAAACAGGTGAATAACAATTGGAAATAATGTTAGTTCACCAAGAATCAACATAAATGAACATAAAAAAATCAACAGCTTTCATTTCAGCAATAACCAATAAGAAAATGTAATGAAAAAAAAAAAAAGAAAATGTAATAGAATAAGAACATCTTCATAATAGCCCAACTAAAACTATAAAATACCTGGGGTAACCTAACAAGAAATATATAAGTCCTATGTGATCTATAAAATTCTACTCAAGGACATAAAAGAAGACTGAAATAAATAGATGTTATGTTCCTGGATGGGAAACTTAAACATTCTAAAAAATATAAATTCTCCCCACATAAATCTATATATCCAAAGCAATCTCAATAAAAATGTCATCATAGTTTTATAGAACTGATGTGATTACTCTAAAGTTCATCTAGAAGAGAAATCAAATAAAAATATGAGAAACTGTTGTAGGGTTAACATGTTATATACTGTTACTTGTATATAAAAATAGATAATTTGTGGAGTAAAGTCTAGTATGTATAGGAATGTAGCTTATAATAAAGATGACAAGACAAGTCAGAAGGAAAGGATGGACCATTCAGTAATGGTTTGGGAGGCTGGGGTCAAACTTCAGTGATAGAATGCTTGTATGTGAGGCCCTGTGTTTAATCCCCAGTACAGAAAAAACAAGCTTTAGAGAAACCAGATAGGTATGTAGAAAATATCAGGAGATATTTTAATAATTCAGAGTGAGGGGACAGCCTTCTTAAGCAAGAAACAAAATCCAGAACTCCTACAACAGAAGATTAACAGATCTAATACTTAAAAGTTTTAAATTAAGATACCATAAAGAAATTTAAAAACCTAGTGTCAGGCTGGGAGAAAATACTTATTGTATCTTTTTTTTTTTTTTTGGTACCAGGGATCAAACTCGGGACCTTGCAGTTGCGAGACAGGCACCGGAACCACTGAGCTAAATCCCTGGCCCTATAAGTTTTAATATTCTTAATGTATAAATGTTTCTACAAATAAGACAACCAATAAAAAATAAGACTGTGAATAGGCAATTGATAAAGGATGAAATGGGCTAGGGGGTTCCTTAGTGTTAAAGCATTTGCCTGGGTTTAATACCAAGCACCAATAAAAAAGTAAATAAAAAATAAAGGATAAAATGTAAACAAATGTCCAATAAGCTTATGAAAATTACCTCTTAGGGAAATAATACTCATGTTTCACCCCTTAGATTAGCAGAAACTTAAATAGATTCTATGGTGAGCTGTATCAGTGAAACACATGCATGGCTCTTTCTACAGAGCACAGTATGGTGGGAATGGGGTTATTTGTTTTTCACTCACTCCACTCAAATAAGCCTGGAATAACAGTCATCTCACCATGTTTGTTTTTGTTTTTGTGTTTTTTGGTACGGGGATAGAACTTGGGTCCTTGAGCTTGCGCAGCAGACAGCAAAACCACTGAGCTAAATCCCCGGCCCTCATCATATGTTTTCTGCTGGAGTCTTTCAAGGCCAATTCAAATGCCATCCTCTCCAGAAGCACTGTTTCACTCTGGAGTTACCTCCACAGGAATATTGTGCCACTATTTTATCATGCCTCTGTTATGGCACATTATAATATGCATTAACATCTACTTTGTATGACTTATGATTAATCCTCATTAAAGACTGAAAGCTCTTAAAATCTTTTTATTCCCTGCATTCTTAGCACTTGGTACACTGTCTTGAACAGGGGAAAAGTTGTAACACATTTACTAACTCACCATTACACTGAGAAGTCCCTGACCTTAAAATATTCATGGTAAGTAAAGGAGATAAACCGATGAGACAAACCCATGAATTCAAAAATACTGCCAAGAGATGAGGTTGGTATGACAGGGTGTATGTGGACTATGTGAACATCAGGGTAGGAGAATGAGTCAGCGCCGTGGTTCTGTGTGAGATCTTAACTGATGTTTTGTTCTGGTCCATGCCATTTCCGAACTCTCCTGGCTTTGGGTATGCTGTCTTTACTATGTGGATTGTTCTTGATCCTTCTTCACTGGGCTGACTCAGCTCAAAGATCACTGCCACTAGGAAACCTTCCCTACCCTCTTTCCTTCTCTTCCAGTCTGTTAAGTGCTCCTCTGTATATCCTCAAGTGCACATAGCTTAATTTTAGGATTTACCATGTCATAACAAACTCTATTTTATGTGTCTCTCCAACAAGATCTAACTTTCATAGGACAGGACCAAGTCTTATTCATCTTTAGCCAATTTTCCTCCCCTTATCACAGGTTAACATATAGAAACTGCTTGATAAATGTTTGTTGAAAATCAAACAGTAAGAAAGCAGGACAGTATGACCTATTCAAGTACTTGTCAGTGCAATAAATATTTAATTTCCTATCATACACCAGACACTGCTGGGAGGAAGGGGCAGACAAGTTGTGAGCCCTTGTCCCCAGGGAGCATCCACTTGGTCTTCCCGTAGTGGGAGTGCCAAGTCTGAATGAGTAGCAGGGACAGATGCAGCTGGGTGGTTCCCTGGGACCAGGATCCTGAAAAACCTTGTATCCCAAGCTAAGAAACCAAATTAAATCAGGCCTGGAAGGGAGCAGGAAATCTGAGGCAAAACAAGTCAATGAGGCAGGTCAGTGTGCCAAATTCTCTATCCTTTTAATGCTTGCCCTGGGCAGGGACTCTTTTCTCCCCAGGGCCAAGGGGCCACACTTACCTATGGGCACAATGATCCCAATGACAGCAGCAGTGACGGTTGAGCCCATCTTGCCACCTTCATTTCCATCTGCAAAACATAAACATTTGCTCTAGCACTGTGAATCCAAGCCCTGACTTGCCTCAAACAGTAAGAACCACCCAACTGCTTCTCACTCTAAAGGATGAGTCTGGCTAATGCCAGATCCTATCAAAACTCTTGTGAGACAAGCAGAAGAGGGGTGGGGAAATTAAATCTTACAAATAAGTGGTCCAGCTGGAACCTGAACTCAGGACTTGTGACCCAAATCCCATACCCTCCCTGCAGCATCACAGTGGTAAGAAGCTGGGGTTGTACATGGCAGGGTGAGCACTTAAGTCTGCATGCTGCTGACTGACTGGATCAGTTGTGCTTTTCAGCCAGGATTCGTTGTACTGTCTCTTGTTTTTGGTGGTCTGTCTGTCCATTAGCATTATTAGCTTAATTTCCCTGAGTAGTTTAATTAGGACATAATAGTGTAGTAGACTCAAGAGCATAGGCTCCTGGGGCAGGCTTCTTGGGTTCAAATACCACTTCTACTACTCACTACTTGGGGGACCTTAGGCAAATTTATATACAGAGTCTGCCAAAAAAATGTATAATCAGAAAAAGAAAAACTTGTATAAGTATTTTAATACTAAATTTATTGAGACATCATGAGATTAACACAAGTTACCTTTGGCCTCTACAATTACAAGAGATACTCAAAGTGGTGGCCATTAGCGTCCAGACATTTATATTTATCAGTACAGCAAACTGCTGAAGTGGGTATACATGTTTCTGGTGGACTCTGTACATATGGTGCTATACTTATTTATTTTGAAAATAGGGACAATGTTATTATCTATCCCCTAAGAAAGTGTAAAGATTAAATAAGATAACTAATTTAAAATACTCAGCACCATACCTGGTACAGCCTTGCTTAGTTCCAAGAGCGTGGTGAGTGGGGGGTTATTGTGAGGCCTAAATTTAACAAGGGATGTAAAAGCGCATTCTAAACTGAAAAGTGCTTGGAAAATGCACTGTATTTTTACAGGTACGCTGTAGCATCTTTCTTACTCTTACAATCATCTTCACTATAAAATCCAGACAGTACTTTACAGTTTAACAAGCTCTCTGAGGCATCTGCGCTGCATGAGGTGGATTCTGTCCTTTCAACATGTCACTTTCTCCACATCACCTCAAATAACTCTGAACTATTCAGGGGAGAAAAGACCTCTATTGCTTGCGAACCTAACTGTGGATGTGCTGCCGTCCTGCTCCAGGCCCACAGACTGGACAGGGATACTAAACCTCCAGCTTGAAAGGGCCTGTGGGGGAGGCTGGTCAGAGGTTCTGCCCCCAGATGAGAGGAGGTGAAATTCACACGTGTTCCACCTGCCTCTCCAAACTTCAGGGTGAATCTGAATTCCCATAGCAAAACAGCCCTGGTCAGAAAGATGTCGCCAGGCTGCTTGGTTTCTGGACCATTTGTGTATAGAAAAAGATGTAAAAAATAGTTTATCATTTTAAATGAACTCCCCCTGTCAGGTTAAATCATTTATTTATTTATTTATTTATTTATGGGGCTTTTGGGTTTTTTTTGGGTACTGGGGATTGAACTCAGATCCTTGCGCTTGTGAGGCAGGTGCCGAAACCACTGACCTTTATGGGTTTTTTGAGACAGGGTCTTACTATGAAGTTCAGGTTGGCCTTGAACTCACTATGTAGCCAAGGCTGGCTCAAACTTGCAATCACTGCCTCAGCCTCTCAAGTGCTGGGATTACAGGTGTGTGCCACCACACCTGGCAGGTTAAATCAATTAAAAATGTATTTTCTGGTTAATGAAATAGAACAGTTCTAGCAGTGACAATTACTGGTTCCGATGATTTAAGTGGTGAACTTAATTATTTTCATAGCAGGGTTTAGAAATAGGCAGGAGCAGGCCATGGATATAGATATTAACATCTGGGCAGCTCACTGAGGCTGACGGGAACTGAGATCAGAGCTTTCCAACCCTGAGGGACACCCCCTCACGCACACATCAGTGACTTATGAAACAGACATACACACACCCAGGCAGCAGAGGCTGTGTGAACACTTTCTCCTCTGCTTCTTTGGGCAGTTGTGAAACAGGCTGGGAGTAGGTTCCTATTTCCCCTTTTCTGGAGAAGAAACAGGCTCAGAGATATGACGTAGATTTCTTGTAGACCCCTGTAAGCTTAGGCCACCCATGACTCCTAAATCGCAGGCTGGCACACTCATTCCCTCTGCTTCCTCCTCAGAGACACACATTTTCAGCTGTTGTGTGATCTCTCTTCCCACACACCCCAACCTGGCTCCCAAAAGGGCCCTCCCATGTCATAAAAGAATGCAGAGCTCATTTCCTTACAGTGCTGGGAGTGGTTGCTGGTTGCAGGGCTTAGGGTAGACGGGCTGATGCTGGGAGCCCTGGGGACACTAGCTGAGCTTGGGACTGCAGCTGTCAGGCTTGGTGTCTCTGTGGTGTGGTTCTGGTAGGTGGAGCTGGGGACAGTGGTTCCAGGGACTCTCGTGGTGGCAGCTGCTGTCCTTGTCGTAGTAGAAGCTAAAGTCGTAGTTGAGGTAGATGGAGGTGCTAGAAAGGAAAGACCATGGAGGTCACTTGAACAGAGCATTTTGTTGCTTTAGTGGTAAAAGATAGTGCCTCTGGGAATTACATATAGGAACCCAACCTCAAGGCTTAGCTCAAATGCCTTCTGTGAAGCCTTCCCTCATTCCCCTGAAAGGGCGGTGGTCTTTTCAGCTGAGTCCTAAGCACTTTGATTGGATAAAGATGAGTCATTTTAGAAGCATTTTACCCTGATATTTTTACATCACTGGTATAAATTCTTACTCCACTTTAAACGATTGAACCTGGAAACCCTGTGCTCAAACAAAAGGCTCTGGCCATATACCACAAGTGGGAAATAAAACATAATTTCTGTGTTGAAGTATATTCCAGCTATTAGCCCAAATCATGCAGCAAAAGGGCTTTGTGTAGTGTTTCAGTTCTAGATAAGAAACAGACAAATCCATAGTAATCTGTGTATAAATAGTAACTGAAGTTGTGGAGATCAAGGGTTCTGAATTTGAAGTTTCCAAGGGGTTCCAGAAATCACCTGAAATTGAATTAAAAATGTTTTATCTATATGTGCATTTTTTCTTGGGAGAAGAAAAAGCCTTAGAAGGCTTCAGGAAACAAGAGCATTCAAGGAAGGTGAAACAAAGGGGAGCATGCAAAGGCGAGGAGTGGCCAGAGAAGACAGAGAAAACCCAGGAGCATACTGTATCCCAGGGTGGGCTCTGGCACTGCCAGGGCTGCCCCTCCTGGAAGCCCTGCTTACCTCGGTAGCACCTCTTCGTGTCTGGGCCCAGCCACATCGTGTCAGGACAGGCACATGTGTACTTGGGAGAGTGGCTGGATATCTGAGGAGCAGGAAGGCACAGGTATTCACAGCCTCCATTGGGCTGGGCATTCAGCTCACAGGCATCTTCAGCTGATGGCAGAGAGAGGGAAAGTTAAGGCACAGACAGGACATGCTGAGTCTTCCCACCTCCCAAGGATAATGGCCCACCCACTCTGCTCGTTCATATGCTTTCCCTACTACATTGATTGGGCCCCTTCTGGCACTGTACCTAGTGTTTTGTTCCCACTCTCATTTGATTCTTACAATAATTCTGACAGCTGGGTGTTATGTGCCACACTGACAGATAAAGCCACATAGGCTCAAAGAGAACAAACTTGTCTAAGCTATTCTCTAGGAATTTTGATAACAGAATTTAAATTGAAATCCCATGTGGGATTTCTCCCCTATGTCACATGCCACCATTTCTCTTATTTAAATTTCTGGATCTAGAATTAGGTACTGCTCTGACCTCCTTACCCGCCTTTGCTTTCCCACCTTCACCCTGGCAGCCAACACCTCAGCTACAGTTAGAATTACTATTTCCTAGTGATAGAGGAGAAGACAACCTAATACTGTTGCAGAACAGAGACAGGAGAGACCACACAGGAGGCAGGAGGATTTATTTAAGGTCTATACACCAGCTCAGTGGGCTCTGTCTATACACCAGCTCAGTGGGCTCTGTGTTTAAAATGGCTGAGCACTGCACAAAGAGAAGTTCCAACTTTTATACATTTTTGTCCAAGTGAGTGGTCTTTCTAGTGGTGTAGCAAGTAAGTTTACTGGAGCAGGACAAGAGCAGACAGTTTTGTAACTTTGCCTTGGAAGAAGACAGTCTCTTATGAATCATATGAGAACAAAGTATCATAAACTTTGTTTACAGGGCATAGTTGTTAATTTTATCTGTACCAGAACAAGGAGGCACAGCTACAGGGGAGGGGGAAGATGCGGGGGGCTGCCCAAGGCTGGAAAGAACTTGTTTTTCTTTAAGTCCTGCTTCAATAGCAAGATTCCTGGACTCTATTCCCAACCAAAAAGCTGAATTACTGTATGGACCTAGGACACATTAGTTTATACTACTGCAAAATGGGTACAAATACCAAATGAGAAGCAAAGTGTCATGGTAGAAAGCACTTTGGAACTGGATGGACCTGTTTAGGTTTCAGTTCTGCTACCTGCTAATATTATTTTACCTCTCTGAGCTTCAGTTTCCTTAATGGTTAATAAGGATAATATGCATACTTTGTATTGCCAAGAATAGGAAATGTATTTACATACTTATTTATACCCAGCCTCATTTCACAAAGATCTGAGGCAGGGAGACAAAATATGTGATGATAATGCATTCTACAGCAAGAGAGATTGTTGTTATTCCTAGAAATGCTGGGTTGTGATATGAATATGAATACAGCCCGCCTAGTGGAGGGGTAGGACTGAGGCAAGCGACCAGGGAAGAGGAAGTGCTCACCTCTTGGCTGCTTCAGCTCATGGAAGATGACAATGTCATGTGGGTTATTCAGGTTCTCAGCTAGGATGGAGATTTCTAGTCCATTAAGCCGATTTGCACTGAAAATGGCCTCATTCTCCAGGTCTGTCCAGAATACCTTGTCCTGTGGGTACAGATGCAGAGGATAGGAAGCCTAGAGTCTCAACATATGACGTCAATCTGAGAACTTGGCCCCAAACCATAGTGACAAGAATTGCCCCAACCTTTCCCCTGAGCTATCCTGTCCACAGATTCTCAATGGGACTCTCAGCCTCTGTTCTTTGAGGTAAACTCTCCTGGTTTCCATCTTAGAGGATCATCTGGTAATTCTGTGCTTTGGCCTGAAGGCCACAAACCTACTAATGCTAAGTTACGCCTGCTTCCTGGAGCCAGCAGAAACCCAAGGTTGGATCTCTTTAGCTATTAGAGGTGCCTGGGACCAAGACTGGAAGGGATGTGTGAGCTACCAAAGGGTGCTGGGCCTTCTACACACACCAATCCACATGGTTTAATCGATACAAACCTAGACAAGCATCTGAAGGTAAATCCACAATTACAGGTAAATCCATCTACACAGATCCAGAACATATATAGCCAAGCATTAATCTATACACATAAAGTCATACTTGTACCTAAATAAGCTTGTCTAATACTGGTGTACACATTTACTCTCACAAGCTCAGCACATATAGGAATGCACACTTCCACTCTGATGCATTTATATATACACGTGCACATACATATACTTGACACATACGACTATGCTCAAGCGTAAACACGCGTGTCCAAACACACCTGTCTTTTGAAGGAGGAGCTGGACTTAGAGGTGGAGCTCTGTTCACAATTTCAGAGCAGTGCTGAGTGAAGCTGCTCCAAGAAAATTCTGTCAGTTCCTACCAGAGTGCACTGTCCTTTTGCTTTCCCCTTGGTGGCAGTTAGTTTTATGGAAGAGGAGGTGTCTGTGTGAGAACTGGTAGTTTCTGGCTTCCTCATTCCCCAAGAAGAAAGGCTGTTAGGGTCAGGGCACAAGAGGATCTTGCTTGACTCCTCACCTCCTGAAGCTTCCTGAAGACTGGAATAGTGTCTGATTCACTTCTATGACCTTTTGTGACAGCAAAGGTTTGACTGCATAGCTTCTCTTAAGCCATTTGGTAGAGTAAAAAATTCTAAGACAATGTACACTGCTTCTTCCCTTCCTCCCTTTATTGAGCACCTTCAGGATATGTGGTACAGTTCTGGGTCCTCAGTGTACAGAGAGGAACCATCCATGTCTAGCAACACATCTAAGAGAAGGACTCTGAGAAAGTGCTCTTGGGAAATGAGAACAGGAAAACTGCCAGACAGGCAATGGACTCCAAAGCCTTTGTATGTAAGCAGCCTTCAATCTGTGTACAGACACCTCAGCTGGCTTCCTTGTTTCTTTCTTTCCATTTGCACATGTCTCAGCAAGGTGTCCTATTTGAAGAAGCCTTCTCCAGGCTTCAGCTTTCTTGCAGGGCCATGCTTCCCATCATGGGGCTCACCTCAAACACAGCTATCCCAAAAGGGTGGCTCAGGAAATCAGGGGAAAAAATCAGCATCTTTCTGTTGCCGCCACTGAAGTCAATGCTGGACAGCTCGTGTAGCTTGGAGTCCACCCAGTACAAACGCTGGTTCAGCAAATCTTGGGGAGGAAGAAGGCAAGGAGGGATCAGGTCATTAACCTGGGACCCCAACCTGGATCTCTGCTTGTCTGTTCCCACTCCCAGCCCGCAATCCCAGGCCTCATACTGATCCCAGCGTACAGCAACAATCATCAAGGAACAAAGGCACTGGCACCATGAGGGGACCCAGAAACAAAACCCATGAGGCTCCAAGATCAGGCGAGAGTAGGCTCCCAACCCAGGGAGGCAGGGCTCACCCAGGGCAATTCCGTTGGGCCATTCAATATTGTCTGACACCAGTGTTTGCCGGTCCACACCGTTGAGCCCAGACTTCTCGATCTTGGCCTGGTACCCCCAGTCAGACCAATACATGAACCTGAAAGAAGAACCCAATTTGGCTTCTTAGCGGGGACATGATCGGGGTGGCCTGGGTCACAAAGGCTCAATGACCCACAGAATAATTGAGGATTATGCTTAGTGAGCACTGGAAAGCCCTCTGAAATGCCTTTGAAGTACCAACTTGTAGAATTAGTAGGCACTGTCTTCAGCTCATTTGAGAACCTGAGGAAAGCTAGATTCTTCTGAGTCCAGCCTTGGCTAAATAGCCTGTGAGCCCCTCTCTCCCACATGTGGCAGCTCTAGGCAGAGCCTGAGAGGGTCAGTGTGGGAAGAGTCCTTGTAAACTCTCTTTCCCGGTTTGTAAAGGAGAAAGTGGATGATCTTTCCAATTCGAGTAAGGCTCCTTACTACCGATCCTCAGGCCTACTAATCCAAGACAATTCGGGAAACCTTACACACTCCTTCGTAAAAAGTCCCTTTATTAAACTCTCCTCCAATTATCTCCTTTTTTGGTACAGGGGATTGAACTAGGACCTTGCGCTTGCGAGGCAGGCGGTGGCACCACTGAGCTAAAACCCTGGTCTTCTCCAATTATCTTAATTCAGTATGTAGTATGTTTCTTGCTGGGACTCCGACAGATTCACAGTGGATCAGAGGTGGGCATAATCATATGTCTTAGGGGACAGGATATCACAGGTGCCGTACCAGTTCTGCATAAGAACAGTGAACAGGTTTGAAGTGAGGGTTAATGAGACAGCTCAGCATCTCTCAGAGTGCCCGGAAATGGGATGGGAGCACCTGGCATGCGTTGTAAATGGAAGCTGTGAGTTATGTCCCAAGGCCTCACATACCCTCTCACGTGCCCAGCCCCAACCAGCTGTGCTCACAGAAGAAGAGAGTTTCTTATCCTCGTTTAACAGTAGAAGGAATCTGATGCATCTCAAGATATCTCCACTGAGGAAGGGAGGGAGTCCTGTTTTGTTCAGAATCCCTAACTGAGCCATGGCCAGAACAAGGTAGCAAGGTGGAGAGGGAGCAATGGAGCTAGATAGCTGGGAGCAGAAGAGATCCAGTGACCTTGTCCTCAAATCTTGCTGGCTGTCCTGCAGGCATGTCTTATGTAACTCTTAAGGCCAGTGAAGGAAGTTATAGAGAGATTTGGGATTCTGAGGGGGAAAAAACAGTTCTAGTGGGCAGAGACTCCTCATAATGAAATAGGACCTATAGGAAGAAATGAGCTGCCTGTCCCTGGAGTGTGTGAGCAGCAGTCAGATGCCTACTTGCAGCAATCTGAGGAAAGGCCTCTGTCCCAGGAGCTTCTACCAGGCAATCTCCAGAGCCCTCCTGTGCTCTGAGTTGCTCCAGTTCTGTGATAAAATGGGTGAGCAGGGGATCTAGAGACAGCCTGAGGACCAGTGCCCAAAGAACCCTAGTATGGGCATTGGGGTTGTTAACAGGAAAGATGAAGGATATGAGTGGATTCTTCTTCATGGCCTGTGTCTGAGAGGCCTAGGGCCTTCTAGAGCCCTCAAGATAATTCTTGTGACAAAAACATGATGACTGAGTGCCTAGAGTGGGGGAATGAGAAGTTTGGGTGGGGATACTCACCCTCGCAGGGGGTCAACAGCAATAGCCCGGGGTTCACTGAGGTCACGGCTGAAGAGAGTGCATCGGCGGTGACCATCAAGTGTGGCCACTGAGATGGTCTTATTACCCGAGTCTGTCCAGTAGATATGTTTGTGGACCCAGTCCACTGCCAGGCCCTCTGGAGAGTGCAGCTGCTCATCAATGAGGACCTCCTGGTCTGCTGGGTCGCTGGCCTTGTCCATGTTGGCGCTGAGGAGAAATGAGAAGTGGTCATTGGTACATGTTCCACCCATGGGCCCATCTGGAGCTACCTGTGCACCCTCCCCTTTCTCTTCTTTCTGGGCCATGGAAGTGGCTTTTAGAGGAACTTGGCTAATTTCTGTTCAACGCATTCCCTGGGCCACCAGGGCAGAGACATAGGCTTGAATCAGCACAGTCTCTGGTCTAGTGGTATTCAATTTAGTGGGGGACTGAAGCCAGGCATAACGCACTGTAATTCCACCAAGCATTAGAGGCTATGGCAGCAGGGAAATGGAGACTACATCATCCCGGAGTCTGTGAGAAGACTTTGAAGTGGAGTCCTGAAGGACTGGTTTCCCAGGGGCGCAAAGATAGAAACCTGTTGAGGCAAAGTAAAAAGTGTATGCACATGCCCAGGGTAAGCACGTTCTGGAATCGTGAGATGTTCAGGGGAGTAGAGCTGGCTTGTGGGATATAAGACAAACGCAGGCAGGGACCACATCCTATTAGCTCTGGGTACCATGCTAAGGTACTGGGATTTTACCTCAGGGGAAGGTGAGGGAGTGGGTAACTAAGCAGGTCCAAGGATGTGACCGGATAGGTGTGTGAGACCACTGTGCCACCTGTGGAGTGTATGGATTGGAAAGGGAGGGAAGGAGGGCAAGGAAACTGGTGAGGAGGCTGTCACGGTGCAAGATGAAGAGGCCCTGAAGGGGGGCTGTACACTGAGAATGGACAGAGGGCCTGATACTACGCAGACACTCATAAGGCACCATCAATCGGACAGATACTGTTGTTTCCAAGGCTTTCTTCTCCCTCATACCCTCTCCCCGTGACTGGTTTCATAGCGTCCACTGCCGTCTATAATTCTGACTCTCCAAATCCAACCACTCTTAAGGTCCAGACTGCAGAGCCAACCAGCTGCCCTTTGACGTTCCATGGACACTTTGAACTCAAATCAAGTCCTCTTCTGCCAGCCAGGCATGGTGGCACACACCCGTAACCTCAGGCTGAGGCAAGAGGATCACAAGTTCTGCCCAGCCCGGGCAATGGAGCAACTCAGCAAAACCCTCTCTCAGAAAACAAACAAGGAGGTAGGAATCGAGTAGGCGGAGAATAGCAGCTTGGTGTACTTGCTCCCATCCACTCATCCACCCGTCCATCCCATCACTCTTCCAGCAGTGACTCAGTTTCTACCCAGTGTCTGGTGATCAGCAGTCCTGCCAACTGGATCTCGAGCAAAAAAGGACATGGCTGCCCGAGGGTGCCCAGACATGCAAGAGACCTCCTAGAGTGTGTGAGGAGCCTTCCAAGTGCCACTGTCCACTGCTGTGGCCACAGACAGGTCACACTCAGAGATGCAGGGATAGTGACTTTCAGAAGGATTTCTCAGCCCTCAGACTGGGCCAGTGGTCTCCTCTGTCCTTCCCCTCATGATCACCATAATGGAAGTCACTCTATCGTAAGTGGGATTCTCCACCCAGCTAGAGCCAGGGAGTTCTTTTCGGCCCTGATGGAACAGTTCCTATGACTTGCACTTCCCCGCCAGTGGTCAGACATAGCCCAGGTGTGTGGGCTCAAAAGTGAGCCCACCAGAGCTGTCAGCCTAGGCCCGGCCAGGGGTGAAGTCCTGGTGTGCCACAGCCACTATGACCCTGCATCCTTTCCCATGCCCAAGTCTGAGAAGCCTTCAAAGCAGAGGCTGCTCTTCCTCTCCTGCCAACCTCCCCTCACGCCAGGCCTGCTGCAGGGGACGTGCCACTCACCTGTAGATCTTGCGGTAGGAGAGGTCACACCAGTAGATGCGATTGGTGGCAACCTCCACATCCAGTGCCACAACATTCTTGAGCATAGGGATGAGGCGTGAGTAATCCCGCTTCACCAGGTCTATCCTCCGTACCTCGTGCCGGTTGGTAAAGATTAGGGATGGGCTCTTGCCAGCTGCCAAGCGGGGAAGTTCAAGGAGAGGGTCACTGCAAAAGGCAGGGAGTCTGGCGACCAAAAGTCTGCCACTAGTTTGCTGTGTGACAGCTCATTTTCCTGTGTGATAATCTCTACCAAGTAGTGGGGAAGATGAAGTGAGTGCAAAAGAGTGTAGGATGCAAAGTGCCACGCAGAACAAAAGTTTTCTTTTCATTAACTACAAATTTGCCCACATCTGGTATGACTCCCCATTTCCTCCTTAGGCCCTCACTGAGGCCTTCTGCTGTACAGCCCCACGTTCCCTGTCCAGCCTTACAACCCACCTCTCTAATACACCTCACTTCCAGCTACCAACACCTGTCATTACCTCGCCAGCGCAAGGCAGGGCTGCGCTACCTCAGGCCTTTGCTCAAGTCCTCCCCTCCACCCCGAATCGATTTCTTCCCAGCAACTATCACCTTCTCTCATGGGGCCCTGTTCAAACAGAGACCCCCTGAGCAAGGAAATGTCTCAGAAAGATGACTGTATATGCAGGACAGAGAACAGATCCCCAAGCAGGCTGCTGTGAGTCTTTCTACAGATATGGCAAGAGATGGAGCTGCAGAGATGGGCAGTGCTGGATCATGAAGGGCCTGGGAGCTGGGTGAAATCTGCTCTTTATCCTGAGCCAGTGGCAAAGGTGGGACATGTGTGATATGTAACACAGATGATATACGAGCAGTGGACATGACACAACTGCCCGTGTATGCACAAAGCTTTTTTAGACTTGTTAGATTTTTAGGAAGCTCTTCAGTGACCTGGACATTCCTGGCGATTCCCTCCAGAAGGTCACTGTCCCATAGGCTATGGGGACTGGCTGCCCCAGGCTCTTTTTGAGATGCACTGGGCCACTCTCGCATCTGAGCGGTAGCTCCTAGCAACACCTGTCCCTGGAGCTGCCTGTGGCTTCTCCCTCTCATGTTTTCCAGCTGACATTTCTGTCTGCCACCTGGTCCCTGTCTGCACACTTGTGCTAGGCTGATGTGTGCCCTGGGCCCAGGGTGGGCCCAGCACAGAGCCAGGTAGGGGCTGGGGGTGGGGATGCACAGTGATGGAGACTATTTCAAGGCAGGGGTGCGAGGGCGGCTGGGGCACAAATGCCGAGCACAGAAAACAGGGCTCAAGGCAAGGAGGAAAGCCGGTTACAGGTCTAGCTCTACTGTGATTCTCCTCACCCCAAATGACAGCAATGACACTTCACCTCTCTGACGTTAGGTGCTGGGGAGAGCGGCATCTGGAGGGGATTTTTAATGTTGGCTGTGACAGTAACAGGGATCCTATCTGTTTGTGATTTGAGTGTTTGTGAACTGTACTCTAAATATTCATATGTATGGCTTTTTATGTATACATGGACAGTTATGTTATCTCCACTGCCCAAATAGAGTATGTTGCATGTTACGCATGTCCTGTGAGGAGATAAAAACAGGCAACAGGGTGAATGTATGTTATATGGTATGCGATATGGGTGAAATGTTTTGGGGGTTAATGGGTTACAAATCAAGCCCTGTGGCTTTTATGTTGTTATAATCTGTCTTTTGTATTTACTGTATTCATGTATAGGCGCTCCATACTCATATATCCAACTGACCGACTACTCAATACCTCCACTTGGACATCTAAACAGTTTTCTTACATTCAACATGTCCCAAACAGTCTAATCATGGCTTCTAAATGTCTTCTCTCACCATCTTTCCTATATTTTCAGTTGCTTAGCCAAAAATCTTAAGAGTCATCTTTTACTATTCCCCCCCCCCCCCACATTTAATTTGTAAGAAAATCCCACTGGCTGGCCTTCAACATAAACCCAATCTGTCCACTTCACAGTATTCCCACCGTAGCCACCCTGGTCCAAGCCATATCACTCTTTTCTGCATTACTGCAATAACCTTCTGTTATGGCTTGTATCTAGATGTCTCCAAAGTGTTATGTGGTCATAGGCAGGGCGTTTTTGTAGGTGGCTGGATCTACAGTATGTGATGCTGGGATTAAGGGTGTGATGCTGGGATTGATTCCCGGTGCAACGCTAGGATTAAGGGTGCCCCACCCTGGGTGAGTGCTACCTGCCCCGGGGTGAGGGTGGTAGCATGGATAGGATGTAAGGGACAGAAAGAGGCCTGCTGTTGTTGCTTGCTGCTTGCCATGAACTGTATCTCCTCTTCGATGTCCCTCTGCCACGCCACCCTGCCTTGAAGTCAGCTGATCATGGGCTGAAACCTTTATAAGCTGTGACCCATAAAAATCCTTTCCAACTTTACTTTGAGTGTTGAGTATTTTTTCTCGGCAATGAGAAAAGTAACTAAGATAGCTCCTAAGTGTTTTCCCATTCCCTTCCTTGCACTCTGCCAGCTACTCTCGACCCTACAGCCAGACAGAACCCAAATGGATTACACACTCCTCCCTCACAGAGGGAAGTCAAGTCAGCCCTTGCAATGCTGTAGAAGGCTTTACGAGATCAGAGCCAAGTCCCCTCTCTGACTTCATCTCTTCCTAAAGTCAGTGCCCTAATTGCAATGGCTTCCTAGCTCTTCCCTGAACACTCCAGGCATGTTCTTCCTTTAGAGATTTTGCACTTTCTGTTCCTTCAGTCTGAAATGCTTTTCCTGAAGATAACTGAGTATCTTCAGTAAAGGAGCAAAAGATACTCAGTCATCTGCAGGAACAGCATCTTAGTGAGGGCTTCCCTGACCATTCTATTTAAAACTGTAAACCACTGTCCCCCTGGACTTTCCTATCCCTATTTCCTACTTTATATTTCTCCTTAGCTCTTATCACCATCTGCAATGTACTGTATTTTATTTATCTGATTTCTTATCTGTCTCACTCATTGGAATGTAAATTCAATGGATTAAAGATCTAAATATTAAAACAGAAACACTTAATCTGCTGGAAGACAAAATTGGTAAAACTCTTGAAGACACAGATGTAGGCAAAGACTTTCAGAACAGAACCCTGGCTGCATAATAATACCAAGAATCGACAAATAGGATCATATCAAATTAAAAACCTTCTTCACAGCCAAGGAAACCACAGAGTGAAGAGACCACCTACAGAATGGGAAAAAAAATTTGCCAGCAACTCATCAGACAAAGGACTAATATCTAGAACATATAAAGACTCAAAAATATTATACTTCCCAAATTTAAAGACCCACTCAAAAAATGGGCATATGAAATGAATAGATACTTCTCAGATGAAATACAAATGGCCAATAAATACATGAAAAAATGTTCAACATTGCTGGAGAAATGCAAATTAAAACAACATCGAGATTCCATCTTACTCAAGAAAGAATGGCCATCATCAGGAAATCAATTAATAAATGGTGGTGAGGCTGTGGAGTAGGGTTAGAAGGAACCCCTCTTCATTGCTCATGGGAGTGTAAACTGGTACAACCACTACGGAAATTAGTATGGAGATCCTAAAAAAACTAAAACCAGAAATTCCATTTGACCCAGCTATTCTCCTTCTAGATAACTTCCTAAGAGTTAAAGACATCATAATATAGTGATGCATGCACCCCCAGGTTTATAATAGCATAATTCATAACAGCTAAATCTTGGAAGTGGCCTATATGTCCATCAACAGATAATGGATAAAGAAAATGTGGTGTTTATACATCATAGAGTACTACTCTGCCATAAAGAAAAACAAATTTGAATCATTTGTAGGAAAATGGGTGTACCATAATGTTAAGGAAATCAAGACACACAAGCTTAAATTTCTCATGGTTTCTCTTATATGAGAAATCCAAAATATAAATAAAGAGCAAGATAAAAGACAATAGAAAAAAAAATTATTGTAATCCAGCATGGCCAATGTATCTAAAAGTGTACCGTGATTTAGTATAATTGTTTTATGTGTTGTATATTTTTTTGGTCTGTTAGTCTGACTGGTAATCTGTGTTTATGATAATTAACTTGATAAAGACTTAAAATAAATGTGATGCTGACAAAAAAAAAAAACCAAACTGTTACATACATGTACCAACTCCCAACAATGAATCTAATCATTTTGTATTGCAAATGTATCCTAATGAAAATAAAATTTTAAAAAGCAGTGAAAAGAAAAGAATCTAAGTCCATGAGGATAGACAGGGATTTGTATCTGTTTTGCTTTATTGTTTAATCCCTAGGGTCTATTACAATGTTAGGTGTTCAGAGTAATGAACTGAACAAGATGAATTAATCAAGCTGGCTCAGCCGATCAGTGTGTAGGTCTGCATGTGTCATGCTCTTCATGTGAATGGGCCCGGGTTGTGTCTATACACTGTGTTCTCTGGGCATAACCTCCATGCGTTGTGTTAGGTGGCTCTGTGCATGTCTGGCGGGTGTTAGCACGGGGTGGCTGGAGTTCGAGTGTAAGCACTGTGTGTGCAGCCTGCTTTCTATGTGTGTGTGCACAGGTACACAAGCACTGTTCACAGACGCGGGAGCACGCGGCCTCCTGTCCCTCCTCGGAGAAATGCCCCACCCTTGGGTATGCATACCCACAGCCTTGCAGCTCTCGGTCAGTGTGTCCACCTCGTAGCCAGGGTGGCACTCGCACTTAAAGTACCCTTTGTAATTTACACAGATCTGGCTGCAAGCGTCTGGGTCCTCACACTCGTCTATGTCTGTGGGGAGGAACAGAGGTCAGAACCAGCAGGAGGATGTGTCTCTGCTTGGGCAGATAGGGAGAGTCTCACCAACACAGGTCTTCTGATCCAGAAGACGGAGGCCTGCCGGGCACGAGCACTCAAAGCCCTTCTTGAGGTCAGTGCAGATGTGGGAACAGCCGCCATTGTTGTGCAGACACTCATTCAGTCCTGGGGAGGGATGCAGGCTCCTGAGGGTCCAGGAGCCCAGGAGGGAGGGGCAGGGCAAAGCAGGGGCAGGGCCCAGAGTGGAAGCAGAGCCTCGGGGCGGCACAACTCCCACAAAGCCAGGAGAGTTCCAGACCTCACTGAGCTTCAGCCTCAGGTCTTCACTCAAGGCCAGACACAGGCAGGGATAGGGGAGCCAGAGCTCATGTTCTTATCCTCCCAGGCTAGGGCTCTGTCCGCCACCAAGCCGGAGGCAGCCAGCCCTTCCCTTGGACTAAGGGCTTTCCTTTTGCATCCACGTTTCTTGCTGCCCTCTTTCCTCATGACCCTGAGCTCTTGGAATGACTTCTACGTGTAGCATCTAACCCTTTGCCCAAAGAACACCCTCTGAAATGCCAGCCTCAGAAAGCCTGCACCCCTCCTGGGCAGCTGGCTCCACTTTGGAACAGCACTGGCCCTTACAGACCTCTTCCTCCCAGGCAGCCTTGCTTTTCCTGCCAGCTCTGCTGTGTGGAGTTGGCCAGGGTGCAGGGGCTCTCTCAGAACTTCCTGAAGGTGCTGATTGCTAGTCCCTTGCCATACAGATCCCTTTCTCTGGACACACTCCACCTGTCCATGTCTGTCTCCGGACAGGGCCCGGAGCTAGTTAGCCAGCCAGAAAGAGTCTAAAGAACATAGGATGGCCCCACTATTCTTGTGTATCTAAGACTACCAGGCCAGGCCTTTTTCTACACAGACCTGCTGCCAAGCCAGTTCTTTCCTACCATGGAACAAAAACAATGGATTTTTTTCAACTCCTCTCCTCTTGGGACCTTTCTCTGTTCCTCCACCTCATCTCAGGCCCGATCCCAGGATTATCAAATGCTGCAAGGGATGTAGAGATGTCAGGAGGTCACTGGGGTCTGGTTCCGCCATCCTCCACTCCCTTACCACCTTCTGAAGGGTTCTAAGGGAGGGAGGTCAGGGAGTCCAGGAGCAAGGCTCACCAAGTTCTCATGGCATCTCCTGAGCTTTAAAAATCATAGAAGGTTAACTTCATAAGCCAAGGGAAGGTGCTGAACCACCCGGTGCCCCCAGCCTCATGCATAGCCACTCCAGCCAAGCAGAGCTGAGCCAAGCGGAGCCAGCCATGGGCATGCACGCAACTGGTCTGAGCTGCCCTCCCGAGCCCATGCACAACTGGGGGTGCCCCACCTCCAGCCTAAGCCATGCTTAGTAAATGTCCCCTTTACCCCTGGGCCTCCTTCTGTTTCCCCGGAATGTTGGTGCAACTGAAAGAACAAGACCACAGCAACCCCATGACTCAGGGGTCCAGTTGTGGCTCAACCAGGTCCAACCCAGGGAAGTCCCAGATTCTTGCCAGTGTGCTGGGCCTGAAGTCTCTGGGGAAACTGCCTTTAGGAATCATTCCGTTACCCCAAGCCCTCAGCGATCTCTCTTGTGCCGTATTATTCCGAGTGCCACTCATTCATGTGTTCTCCCATTCGCTCACTACCTCATTCATGCATCCACTCGCTTCCTTCCTCTCCTTCTCCAGGTAGTAGCAACTCCACCATTCTATTTACTGAGCACTTGATTAATGTAGGCTGGCTTGGAAAGGGGAAAGGGGGAGCTCAACATGACTCTGGTCTCTGATGAAAGAAGGTACAGACCCCTCTGGGACTGAAGTAGGTCAAAGGAAGAGAAAGGGAATTGGGTCCACATTGTCTATCCCCTCAACCTTTCCTGGAAGACCTCAAGAGAAGTCTCTGGTCCTCCCTAATTCCATCCAGTCTGGAGGGGATTCTTCTGGGGAAACCGGGAGAGGAAGGAAACGAGTAGAGTGGCCCAGAGAGGCCTGAGTGGCAGGAGGCTTCCTTCTGTGGGAGGAACCAGTGGTGTCCCTTTGCCCGCCACGTGCACACACTTACATGCAGACACCTGCATGCACACACACCTGCTTAGGTGCAGAATCACAGACAGGACCGTGGGCAACTCCAACACTCACACAGACGTGGGAACACACCCAGAGATACACAAACGCAGCTCCTCTGCCTTCCTCAAGGGAGACGTGGATACAGACACTGGCCTCTCACTGACACACAGACAGAAAAGCCTCGGACACAAACACATGCATACATACTTTTCTTGGGCATGTCATGCGAAATATGAGAGAAGAGAGAGTTTAGCAGGTTAGTAGTCCCTGGCTAACTGCAATCTGGGTGTGGGGGCAGGGAGACTCAGTGGTTCCTGCTTCGAGGCCCTTCTTTCTATAGGTCCCTCCTTCTGGGCCTTCTCTCGGCTACATTTCCAAGGCTGACTTTCACTCAGCTACTCTTTCTTTCACTCTCAGTTTGAGTTTTTTGCTTTGTTTTTTGATCTTCAAAAGGGCAGGAAATGTGCTATTCCTAGGGAGCTGTGGAGAATGCAGTTCCTCTGGGTGCCCAGGAGGGGCGGTATTGGGGAACTGTTGTCCAGGAGGCTGGAGAGGGAACACTGACCTCTGTCCTCCCCAGGCCTCTCTGTCCAAATCTCCTTGAACCCCTGACCACCTGGGATCCTCAGAGAAACGACTCACGAACCTTCCTGGCTCCACACTGGGTTCCCAGTGTGTTCTCTGGGATGCGCACCCCTCCACCCACATAGAGCCACTGTTCTCTCGAGCCTGGAACCCATCAGGACAGCTGTCTCATTCCATTTCTCACTCATCCAGCCTGCAAGTCTGGGCTTCCCAGCAAGTCCCAGATACCCAGGGCTTCGGGGGGTGCTATCTCATGCTGCTGGGACTGTCCTGCTCCCACCCCGGCCTGGCCTGAGATTACCTCTGGGATGTGTGTCAGTTGGCCTCCTGACTGCTATTCCCCACCTCTCCCTTCCTGGGTCTCCTGCAGGGATAGAAGGGCTCAGCAGCCAGGGCCCTAGCTAGATCAGCAGAGCAGAACCCAGAGGAAGAGAGAAAGTTGCAGAGAATACGCTCTCCCAGGTCTGAATATAGAAGGATTGAGGAGGGGAGGCTAAGTCTGTAAGAAGCAGCATAACTTCTGAGCATCTGGGCTGGAAAGGAAAGGCCTTAGAGTGTCACAGAATGCAGAACAAGAGGCCCAGGGGCAAAGAATCACAGGGCAGAGAGGGAGCAGTGTCAGAGAGGGGCGTGTGAGGGGCTTGACAGGAGGGTTAGTCCAGCTGCTGGTGTAGACTGGTACCGTACCACACTCTTTCAGAAGCTCATCTGACCAGTCCTGGCAGTCCTTTTGAGCATCACACACTTTCCCGCCGTCCACGCACTCGCCACTCTTACACTGAAATCTGCGGGGACCCTCACAAGTGGACTCTGTCGGGCCAGACAAAAGAGTGGATGGTGCCTGTGAGACCTTGGACAAGAGGCACAGGACTGGGCTGGAGCTGGGCCCAAGAAGACAAGCAGAGTTCCAACCCCTACAGGGTCCCAGGGAGGACCAGAGTCCTGTACCTCGTCTAACTAGGGAGAGCCATGGGCGTCTGCATTTGACCTAGGAGGCTGGGGCACTGGAAGGGACTGCAGAGATGCAGAGGTGGAGCTGACATCTCGTGAGGAGACACCTCTGTCCATGGAGCTGGAGAGGAAAGGTTGCCTCACTGCCCAGATAACTAGTGGGCCAGGGTCTCTGTTCCCGCAGGGGCAGGTGGTGACCAGAATTCTGCACAGTCCAGGAACTGGTGAGGAAGCTTGGACAAGGACAAGCGGGAGGAGCACTGGGCTTCCTGCAGTGCCCTTTCACATCCCCAAAGGTGTCTTTCAGCTTCTGTGAAGTCCTGAATAATCCAGTTCTGGTGTCGCTAGGACTCCATGGGAGGGAACCCGGGTGTTACAGGGGCAAGGCATGATCTGGGCAGGAATACATCTCCCAACCAAGGGGCGGCCTCGGCCAATCTGCTCTCTCTGAGACCTTGCTGAGAGCATGGGGCTCTCCTCAGGGGACGCTGCCTCTGCCCTGACTACACACACCCTGCAGGCAGCCGGCTTCGTCGCTCCCGTCTGGGCAGTCCCGTTCCTGGTTGCAGCGTTTGATTGCAAGGACACAAGTCCCATCCCCACACTGGAACTCCTCTCCACGGCAGGTCCCCAGCACTGCTGGGAGAAGGCAAAAGGACAGGGTCAGAGTCAGTGTGGCCCCAGGACTGGCCCATGCCATATCCACCCCTGGCAAGAATAGAACCAGTGGCTGTGCTTAGGAGTCCTCAAAGGACACCTGGCCAAGGCACCTCCAGTGTACAGATGGGGAGACTGAAGCTCAGAGAGGGGGAAGGCCTTGCCCGGGGCCACACAGCACGCAGGCAAGCGCAGCCAGGACTAAAACTCAGGCTCCTGTTTTCCTGTCTTCTGCTCCTCCCCAGAGCAGACACATGGCCTTCTACTGAGTCTTAGTGCTCACAACTGAGGACTTTGTCTGCTCTGCCAGCCTTTCCTGAGCTAGGTGCTGTGCTGGGTGGGTGTGAGGAGCCCAGAGAGGACTGAGCACCCTTATCCTCCGGGAGCTCAGGTGCAGGGGTCCTGGGGAGTACAGCGTGTGAGAGATGCGCTGTACCCAGAGAGTGAGAGGGCAGCAGGGACCCGACCCTGCCGCACCGTCAGTGGAGACTCGCAGGGAGGGCATCAGAGCGGAGACAGGCACCAGAGGAAGCCTGCGCCTGGCTTCTAGGGCCAGACCTGGGCCCCGCTGCTTAGCGGCCACATGATTTCGAGCGGTCACTGCATTCTCCTAACCTAGGTCTCCTCCCTGGTCAAACGGGGTAGTGCCCTCCGGGGCAGACAAGGAAAGGAAGTGCGACGCGTGGCCAGATCCGCAGGCCCTGGGGGGAGTGGGCAGCGCGGAGGGGCTTACGGCAGTCGGCCTCGTCCGACTTGTCCTTGCAGTCGCGGTCGCCGTCGCAGCGCCAGCCCAGGTGTATGCACTCGCCGCTGCGGCAGGTGAACTGGGTGCTGGGGGTGCAGGCTGCGGGCGCCGGCGTGGTCCCCAGGCCTGCTCGGCCGCAGAGCTCGGCCGCCTCGTCCGAGCGGTCCTCACAGTCGAACTGGCTGTCGCAGACCCAGCGCGCGGGGATGCAGGCGCCGCCGCCGCCGCCGCAGCGGAACTCCCGGGGCCCGCAGGCTGGGTCCGCGCAGCCGCGCTCGTCGCTGCCGTCCCCGCAGTCATCGTCGCCGTCGCACACGAACACGGCGGCCAGGCACGTGCGGTTTCTGCACTGGAACTCGTGCGGGGCGCACACTGCGCAGGACAGAGAGCCGGTCGGCTGGCCGGACCCCACGCCCTGCCGGCCCGGCCCACTGGTCCTGCTCTGGGCTCTCTGACCCTCAGCTGTGGGCCGGCATGGGTCCGCTGGAGGCCTGAGCAGGACGTAAGGTCAGGCACAGCAAAGGAGAGCCTCCAGCCGGGGCCCTGGACAACCCACTGCCGGGTCGTCTGTCCCGTGAGCACGCCCGCCGCCGCTCCAGCCACCTCAGGCAGACCGGCTGCTGGGCGCAGCACACACAGGACCACCTAGGGGCCTCTGCTCAATTTGCTCCATCTTCGGGCGACCCACCTCTTGCCCACCACTGCCTCGACATTTTTTTTTTTTCCCTCTACGTTTTTTGAGTTCTCATCTTTCCAGGGCTCCAATTCTGCCTCTGCCATAACACGCTGCATATTCCCCCGCTTGCGAAACCTCCCTCCTTCCGTGTGCCTTTTACAACCTGCACAGGTATCTGGGTCTCATGGCCTTCTGCATCTGGCCCAGGACCACAGAAGGCCTTTGTCCTAGTGTCTGGCATGGAGCTCCAGCAGGGGTGGAGTGGATGGGTGCCGGCCTCCTGGGTATGAGGGACAAGCCTGTGCAGTAATGAAGGCCACAGGTCACGGCACTGCCTGGGGCCCCGGGCTTCCTCTCTCTGGAGAACTGGTTTGAGCTCAGGGGCAGGAAGAACTTTAGGGACAAAAAGCCCAATTTCTAGTTTACAGATAGGAAAGCTGAGGCCCACAGAGGAAAGTGGCTTTACTCAGGGTTACATCGTCATTCTATGGTGACAGGAGAACCAGAACTCAGGTTTGGAATACTTCCTTTCTACTTTTGACTCTTTTTCTCAGCTTTTCTGGTTTTCCTCTCCTTTCCTGGAATGCAATTTGTTTTCAGCCCACCAACCTCCTGTTCTCCTTTGTGTCTTTAGACACTGGCCAAGAACTGGCCTGTGGGGTCCAGGAAGGTAACAGATGCAGAGGCTATGACCACAGGTAACGGGTGGTGGCAGTACCAGATCTCTCCACGTGGGGGCGCCCAGAGCCCGTGATTCTATTTTCTGATGAAAATGTCAATTTCCATTGTTATGGAACATAAAAGTGACGTCTGGTTTCACAATGTAGGTAGCTCATGTGTTTCTGACAGCTCTACCAGTTTCTGACAGCTGCATTCTTTTTCTCCTTCTGGGCTTTTGGGCTTATTAGGACACCGCAGCATATGCTACATGGGGCCATAGTCCCTCAAGATGATGCTGATGCCTAGATTAGCTCCCTTCCTGCCTTGGCTTACAAACCTGCAGAAAGAGGGGATTTGGTGCCTTCTGAAATCCTCAACAGAAAATGCTTCTTACTACTGAGTTCTCACCGAGGTTCTGGAAATCACAGTGATTTTAAGATCCACGGTACCTAGCCCAGAGGAACTGCCCCCCCCCCCCCGCCGCCCCGCCCCAACATTCACAAATGAAAGAGATTCTGGGAGAAGGGAGGATTTTTTTCCCTCTGCACAAGCAGTAGGGAGCTGCAGCAGAGAAGCCCAATAAGACCTTCTAGTATTCTGGGCTCCTATAATTAACAAGGAATGCTCTTGTCCCAACATGCCCTAGTTAGGGTACCACCTCCTGCCGTAGTGACCGATAGCTTTTATCAGTTGATTACTGGGGGACACGTAAGGAAGAAAGAGGACTCTCATGGGCCAGTGAGTCTTCAAAAAATTATGACAGCTGAAGAAATGAGCCAGTGGGCCATGAGACTTTGAAACTGCTGGTCACAGCCAGGATCTTCCTACCTGCCTAGATGTTTCCTGCCTCAGACTCATCAAAGCTCCAGATGGAATCTCAGGGTGCTGTGACTCAGAAGCCTTTGACAGATGGCCTTTCCTGTGGGCCACAGGGGACAGCTACGATGCACACAGAGAGGCTGGGGGAGAGGAGCAGGGGCGAGAGACAGTGGTGGAAAAGTGCCCGGTAAAAGCCTCCTGAGTGCTCACTGTATCTCAGGCCAGCCTCATAGCGTAAGAGCACAGCCAGCTGGTTCCCCTAAAATCATGAGCTCCGAGAGAGAGGAGTGCAAAGGAGTCACCTCATTCTTCCTTCTACACCTGCCTCCAGGCCTGGCTCACAGTAGTAGGTGCCCATCGGATTGAAAGTCCCGAAGGCCCAGGCCCTGCTGGCCTGCTCCCTGGGAAGGGGATAATCCTGTGCTTGAAGCTCAGTCATGTGGAACAGTCCCAGTGACCTCTTCCATCTGTCCCCACTGAGGCTGCCAGGAATGTCTTGCCCACCCTGTGACACGTGTGCTTTCGGCAACAGTAGTCTTTCACACCTCAGGAATCTGTCCCACCCGCTCTGCCACACAGGCCGCCCCTCTGTCCCCTGCCCTTGCTCAGAGGGAGGGAGATTGGTGGACTTGTGGAATGGATGAATAGATGTTAGGCATGGTACAAAGCTTTGCTCTCCAGTTCTGAATTTGCATCTCACTTCCATCATTCAGCCTCGGGCACGTTTCCTCCCTTGTCTGAGCCTCAGTTTCCTCATCCATCAAAATGGGAATGGGAATGGCTCCTCATGAGGTGGTGTGAGGATGAAGAAAATGTCTCTTCAGTGCCGGGCCATTCTAGTGTCCCAATTACTCTTCTTCTTGTCCACCTACCAGGACCACGGTTAAACAGGCCCCTCCGTGGCGGTGGCCACCACTCCCCAGCACTACCCACCCTGCCTGGCAGACCCTGGGGTTCTGACCCCAGACTCACAGGTAGCACAGCCGGCCTCGTCTGCTCCACCCTCACAGTCCTTCTCTCCGTCGCAGCGCCACGAGGCAGGCACACACTTGTGGCTGGTGGGTCCACAGCTCAGCTTCTCTGCAGGACACACTTGCTGGGCTGTGGAGACAGACATCCGTGCATGGCTTAGTGGCAGGGACCCAGGGCACAGCACCTACCAGTCCTAGCACCCACTTCCGGCCAATCAGCACAAGGCCCTGGAAAGTCCATTGGGGCCCGAATCCCATCTGCCCCTAGGACTTTCCAAATCCTAAATCTGACCCCATCACTGCCTCCCTAACACTCTCACGGCCCCTGGTCCCCGGAAGACAAGTTGCTCCTCGATGCAGTGGGCCCTGACTCACTCGGTTACCACCCACTCCTCCATGCCTCCTCTTTAAGCTCTAGCAACCTGAGGCCACTAATCCCTACACCCTTCCCTGCTGAGTGACAGCTGTGTGCCCCTGGGTGGGATATACCCAGCTGGGTGTCACTTTGCCTTCCAGATCTGTGACTCCATGACCCAACCCTGTAGATTGGAGGGGTCACCAAAGCTCCAACAGTCCCAGCCCACCCTTCTCCAAGCCCCCTCCCCCAGTGAGGGTGCTGAGCCTGCAGCTGAGAACAGCCGCCGCATGACAGGGCCCAGCGGGACTGCACAGCTATAATTACTGCAGCCGCAATCACAGGCTGACTCAATCAGGGGCCTGAAGCCCCAGGGTTGATTCTCAGTTTGGAAGAAGGAATGAGAACCCTATTCAGTTCTTATCCTGAGCCTCCTCTGATCCACGTGACTGATGAGGCAGATGCATCTGAACCCTCCATGATTGGCTCTCTACTGCCTTTCATGGGGTGCAAGAGGCCTGATCTCAGTGGTGTCTAAGATGTGCCAGGCACAGTGCTAGACGCTTCTATTTAATTTTTATAATAATCCAGTAGGGCAAAGATTACATCCTGGCCTCCAGTATGGAGATGGAGGATGTGGCTCTGGATCCCTAGCTTCTAATCATACCTCAACCACTCACTGGCTATGTGACCTTGGCCTTCCCTGTCGCTGTGCCAATAGGCAGGAAGATTCTATGACCTGGGTTGTCCCAGGGTTGTTGTGATGACAGGCCAATGTCTGTAAAGTACTGAAAAGAACACCCAGCCCAGTGCTCACTCAATGTTGCCTCTTTTATTATCCACACATAACTTGGGTCTTGGTGAGCCACTCAGTGAGTACTGAATTGCACACTGCTGAGTTCTTGCCCCACACTGGTAAAGAATGGTGTAAGGATTCAGGCAGCTGTGTCTGGGTGCCGCAGCCTGGACCTGGTCCACTGTAAGCCCGGGGGAGTGGCTATTCATGTCCCATTCTAATTTCTGATCTCAGACCAGTCTCCTCCTACCCTTTCACTTCTACAGCTGGGATGAGACACCGCGAGGGATGGAGAAAAGGCACAGAAACGGTGGGGACTGTGTCAAGGTCCCCAGACAACAGCAAGTCATGGGAGAAGAGCACCTCCAAGGCCTCTAAGTGTGGAGCCTGCTAGGATCCATTTTACAGAAATTTCCAAGTAACTGTCAGGCAGAGCTCTGGAAAGCACTGACACTTAAATGACTCCTTTAAAAGGCCACCTCAAGTTTGCCATGTGGAAACTGGGATCCTTCGAGGGCATCTCTGTCACCCTGGGAGCCCTCCAGGGCCCCACCAGGACCTGAAGGTGCTGGAGTTGACCAGCGCTTCCCAGAGGATTCTCTGACCAATGGGAAGAGGTGAGGGCCTATTATAGGTGCAGGTTCCGGGGCCCTGGCTCATACCAACTGAATCTGGACTGCGAGGGCACAGCCCAGGAATCTACATTTTAATAATTCTCCATCCCCAGCTCAGAGTATTCTCAGGGAGCTCTGTTTGAGAATTCCAGTTAATATTCCACACCCCTAAAAGATAAAGGACATTTAATGTCTTTCAGATCTAATACCATAAAAGTGATACAGCAGTCCCAGGCATCTGCAAGCTCTAGAGACAGCTGTAGGTAGAAGGGCAAGGCAACCGTCTTGTCCTTATCACTAAGCCAGGCAGCGTGGAACAGACTCCCAGGCGAGTGGGAAGGGCCAGGGACCAGGCGCCTACAGTGTGTCAGGCTACTCTGTACCCGGTGGTCAAGGGAGCATGTTGGTGCCTCTCAAAGTTCATGCTGGAACCTAATCCCTACTGCGGTAGTTAAGCAGCCCTCATGAACGGGATTTGTGCCCTAACGAAGGGGGCTGGGCGATTCCCTTGTCCCTCGAGGCATGGAGAAGGCACCATTTGTGAGAAATGGGCCCTCACCAGGCACTAAATCTACGGGTGCCTTGATCTTGGATTTCTCAGCCTCCAGAACTATAATCAATAGATTTCTTTTATTTATAAACTGCCAGTATAAGGTATTTGTCCTAACAGCCAGAACCGACAAAGATACACCATCGCCCTCATCCTGACAGGTAAGCAGACCCTGCAGGCTGTGAGTGCAACTTCCAGGGGAGCCATTCAGGTGAGCGGTGCCCCTGGAGTGGAGCAGGGCAGCTGTCCTACAGGCGGGCAAGTTGGTGTACATACAGATGAGGAAACTGAGGTTCAGGGCGGCCAAGTAACTGACGCAACGATGCCCAGCAGGGGAGAGGCTGGGCACCTCTGACTAGAGCCCTGCCCTCTCCATCAAACCCCTTGCGTGCTCCGGAACCAACCCCATCCTCTCCTCCCGAAATCCAGGTGACTGAGTGGCCCTGGGTGGTAGGCGCCACCTCCCCTGGTTCTGCAGACCCCGGTGCAGCAGGCAGCTGATTGAACTTTTAATGAATATTTATACAGTTAATAGCATAACCTTTCAGCAAGGACAATGATTAAACAATCCGTCTGCTTCCTTTCTTTATAATTAATAAGGCATTTGCTGTGGCCCCTAAATAGACAGCTCTAATTACAGGCTCTCAAGGATTCAGCGCTACCTGACATGTGACCCCTCACCCCCAAAGAGCCAAGCGTCTTAGAATGCCAGGACAAGAGAGCCCCGGGGGTCATATTGGTGAGGAAGCCCTGGAGAAGCAGGAGCCCGAGTCCAGAGAAGGGAAGGTACTGGGTGTTCCTAAGGTTTCCTCCTGGAACCTCAGTCTTTCTCGTGATGGATAGTTCTTCCCCAAAGTGAAGACTCCAGCTGGTGAGGGCCCCTGGGTCAGGCCTCTCCACTGCAGAGCCCTGGAAAGTGCTGACGTGAAGTATCTCCCTATGAGGTCAGTTCTATTATTTCTTCCAAGGAAGTTGTCTGCTCAGTGTCTTGTGAGGGGCAGAACTGTCTTCCATCCCAGGCCCAAATACACTGCTTCACTTACTGAGCTGAACTACTGCATGTGAGAAAAACAATCCTCACCGGTCTCTCTAGCACATCTGGGCTGGAGGGGGGTCCCTGGGCCTTTGCTCAGGCAGGTTGTACAAGGTGGAGATCTGATGTTCACTTTAAGGATCCTTAAAGCCAGCAGCCCCCAGGCAGCACGACATAGGAGAAAGACCATGAGTTTTAGAGGTGGACAGAACTAATCCAGATTCCACTCACTGCTACCCAGGTCCTTAGGGTCGGGTAATTCACACTTTGCATCCTGGCCACCCTCATCTAAAAATAGGGCTACACACTCTCGTAGGGTTGGTGCGTGGTTTAAATGAGAAAATATGGACATCCCTATACTCAAAAGCCTGGAACAAACTTGGAGCTCAAAACACAGTTGCCCTTGTTTTAGTTCATGAAATGTAAATGCAAATGGCTGGCGGAGGGACCTGGTCTCTCCCTCGGGAATACACATGAGTCTGCAGGGTTCCCCACGAGGAAGCGCCCATCCCACAGCAGCCTCTGCCTCTGGGACAGATGCCCCAAGGGTCACCTTTGGCCCGATGTCCAAGCACTCCAAGTCCTAAGAGGCAGGAGTGAAGAAGCTCACTGTCTCTTGGACAAGAGGAACCCTCTGCAGTTGCCAAGGAGGCTTAAAACTCCACCCTGGAGTGCCTGCAGGCATTCATTTCCAGAGACTCCTGCCCCAGAAATCCAAATCCATGGGTATTTTCTCTAATTCATAAGTTCACAAATTAACATAAAGGGAAATGTCTGTTGGATAAAAGAATGAAAGTATTTAGCGGCTGCGAATTGAGCAGGCAAGTCTATGGTGTCAATTCACAGGAGTTTCTGGGGGAGACAGCCTCCAGGTGGGGCTCCAAGGAGACCATCCCACCATACAGAAGGGGGCCGGGCTATACTAAGCTGCTCCACATGGGGTCAGGCGAAATGCACCTGGCTGGGTCAGTCTCTCTTTGCTGGGCCTCCATTTCCTGAAGCTTGGTGAGTTTGATTAATCAGTGAGGTCCTCCTTCCAGGTTCTCAGATGCAAGGAAGATTCCACATTCAGTGAGCAGCACCCCAGTGCAGCTCATTCCCCTTGATCCAGCCTCCCCTCCCCACCTATGCCCCTCCCAACAGCTGCCTGAAGGTGGGTCAGAGCCTTCCCCAATCAAGTGAGCTATAATTAGTGCTGAAATGCTATTTTCATTAGGCAAATGTTCTGTGTTTTCCGCTGTGACTCTGGCTATATTTGATAAATACAGAACTCAGAACCAGAGAGAAACAGAAGTAGGAGAAACCCTGATCAGTTTGGGGCAGATGACATTGTAAGAAAAAAATGTAAGTATTAAGGAGACCTGCTTCCTCAGGCCTTTCCCTCTCTATAGACAAACTCCCCAACGTATACTATTCTAATATTTTCATATCATAATATTCTAATAGTTATGTTAAGGGCAGAGGGCTTGGAGTCCAAATATAATAATAAAAATAACACCGTCATTTATTCCAGTAAGTACCACTACCAACTTTCTCATAATGTCCTCACCTGCCCTGTGAGGCAGATGCCATTATGCCATTTTATGGATGAAGAAACTGAGGCTCAGGAAGACTGGGTGGTTGTGTTAAGTCTCACAGGCTAAAAGGAGCAGACCAACTATATCAGATACCAAATTCACTATGCATTACTATCTATGATCTTTCTATTAGGTGTGAGGAGGGGGTCTCTATCCTGAGAGCTGGCACAGGCCCAGAAACCTGGTAGGCTATGGAGGTTGCTATGGCAACACCAATTAAATGGACAGCGGGTCGGCTGCTGGGTTCTCATTTGGTCGGGAAGCTGTGATCAAGCCTGCTACCACATCCTGCTGCCCCACATTCTGCCGTACCCTCACGGTTCCACTGTGGCTCACCTCCTCCAGGCAGCCCTCCCCAGCAGCAGGCCTCATCTGCCCCTGACCAATGTATCTGCACAGGAAGTAGGGGCCCAGGTGGCTGGGGGAGGCAGCTGCAGCCAAACTGCCAAACCCATTCCAGCCTCAGTTTCCCGCCCTAAGTGGGGTCTAGCTCCCTCCCAAGGCTACCATGAAGATGAAAGTCACAGGTGGGTGTGGCAGGGCTTTGTTCCTTCCAAAGCTCAGGACAAGGCATTGGACTTCCCTCCTGGCCCGCAGCCTCCAGGACAGCACAGAGTCTGGCCACCTAGTGGGGTGAAGGAAGGATGGGCCCACAGTGTGACTGAGGAGGGCAGGGACGGCCTCGTCCGGGGCGGGGGTCCCTTGCGCTCCCTTTCTCTTCTCCCTTTCTTTCTCTCACATGGAGGGAGACTGGTAGCTCTGTTGCTAGGAGACGAGGAAACCCAGTGATCACCAGCCACAGCCCTAGATGGGACTCTGGCTTTCATTGTCTCCATCTCTGCCTCTGGGGTGACTGTTACCCCTAAAGAGGAGCTCTCGGCCCCCCCGCCATCCCTGTGGACCTCCACCCAGCCCTCCGTCTCAGCCTTGTCTGCTGAAGCTCTGCCTCTGGACCACCGGGCCCCGCCCCGACCCCTTCTCATCTCCTTTTTAATTTAACAAATGTCACAGAATGACCTGCTGGGTGTAAGTTTGCTTTGAGGATTAGGGACTGGAAAAGAAATCATGGAGAGACAAAGCCCTGAGTGTAGGAGGCGGGCCCAGGGCTCCAGGCCCCACCTCTCCCTGGCTGCCTCTGTTGCCACCCGGCTACTGGTGGAGGGAGAGGCTCCTGGACGCAGCCCACCCATGGCAGGGGCAAGAGCTGCAGCCTGTGTCCCAGCTGGGTGGCCATAGGGAAATCACTGGCCTCTCTGACCTTCAGCATCCACCTTTACAAGATTCAGGAAGTGACAGTACCTGCCCACCCTCCGAGGTTGCTGTGAGGTTGAAAGGAATTAACTTGAGAACAAAGAGCTTAGCAAGGTGTTTGGTGTTTGGTAACGTAAATGCTCAGCAAGCACCAGCTGCCATTAGTGCTACTGGATTGACCATCAGGGTCCTAGAGAACACAAGGGAGGCCCCCTGGTGTATACTGCGGCTGCTTCTGGGCTGAAGGACTCAATGGGCTGCAGCTCCTAGCTCCTCACGCTCTAGGAACAGGGTCCAACCTGCAAGACTGTGAAGAAAGCCCAGAAACAGGTGAACTAGCAACTAGACGTCCTTAACTGTTCACCAGGAGCCAGCCCACCAAGGGCATTCCTCCGATCACTTTGTCGGAGCCTCCCAACCTGCCGGCACGGAAGAGCTGATGAGGAAACTGAGGTCCAGGACAAGGCCCACCTCCCCCGGCCGCAGGGGGCAGACTCACTGCAGGTGGCCTCAGACTCGTCGGAGCCGTCGGGACACTCCTCCTCACCATCACACTTCCACCGCTCAGGGATGCAGTGGCCGTTGCCGCAGGTGAAGTCGCTGTCCGCACACGTCTTCTTGGCTGTCAGGCAAGGAGAAGAGTATGAGGGGTCAAAGGGGCGCGGGAGGCTTTCCTAAGACAACACAGTCAGGCGATCAAAGAGTGACCGGAACGTTCTCAATCTAAAAGCCAGGCCACATAACCTCCTACAGCACCGTGAGGCTGTAGAGAAATAAATGCTCATCCACCGGCAACTACTGAGCGCCGTGGGAAGCCGGGCGGCCCCTGCCTGTGCCCTGCCAGTCCAGGAGCTCGACTCCAGCAAGGGCAACTGGGTCCATCACACCTTTCTCTCTCCTCGAAGGTCTCCTCCATTGTCACCACCTCCAATTAGCTTTCCCTCACCCTCAGTCCCTCCACCTGCCTCTCCCACCCCCATCCATACTGGAAGTCAAAGCCCCATCCAAAAGCACCAGGGAGCTGGTGATCATGAGCCCAAAAGTACACAATTACTTCGTGACAAATCGAAAGATGAATGAGGTCTTTTGTGCTCACAGTGGTGACCAAGCGCCTGTGGGCAGTCCCCACAGGAGTCCCTGCCCCTGGGGCCTTCCTGAGGTCCTGCAGGGGACACCTCCATTTCTGCACCAGGGTTCGGATCCCAGCAGGGCCTCCTTCCATCCGCAAGACCTTGGGGATGTTACTTACCCCTGACCCTCCCTTTTCTTAACTCTGGAATGGGAAGAAGGAAACAAAGGGCCATGAGGACTGATGAGAAGTTACAATGTTGGAGAAACAAGCTGCAGAGAACCTGGCACACAGCAGATACTCGTGAGTGGCCGTTATGGCTGTTTTCATAGTTTGAGTATTAATTAGAAGTGAAAGAAATGGAGTATTCTATGCCCACACCAGGAATGCTTCGGGCTGAGACGTCATGGCAGGTAGCAGTGCTTCAACAAGAATGTGGGTACCGGCCCCAGCCCAAGGCTCTTTGTGGTCCTAAGAGTCTCAGGGTCAGGGAAGAGACAAGAGAAGGCTGTGTCCTAAGATGCCCCATTACGCTCGCTCTGTGCTATCCTTGTGCCCCAGCTCCTACCTGAGTGCCCAGTGCTAACAGCAGGCCAGGCAAAGTGAGGGCAGCTGTCCCGACAGGCATTTTGGGGGTGAGTGTGGGCGGCCTGGGGACCCCAGGAGGGAGGTGAGGCTTTGGGGACCCCAGCCTTGACTTCCTGCATTCTGTTGGTCTCCTCTGGAGCAAATCTGCATTCAGTTTACACACCTTCCGCAGGCCTGGGCTGAAGGTCTAGGACCTGTGACAGCACAGTTCGGTGAGAGACAGAAAGCCCTGGCGGGAGGTCGGAGGCCTGGGTTTGAATCTTCGCTATGCTATGTTCTGCTGTGTGCCCTCAAGCAAACCACGGTCTGTTTCTGGCCCTCAGTTTCTTCATTACCAGAAAAGGGGAGGGTGATTTCAGTGAGAGGAAATCATTCAGTATAGAAGGTCGTTCCAGAGCAGGAGGCCAGAAATGGCAAGGGTGGTCTCTCTTCACCCCAAAGGAAGATACCTCAGCAGAGCAGAACTTACCAGGCCTTCGGGAGCCCAGAACCCTAAAGTCTACCCTTTGAATGACCTTGGGGCTAGATGTGACATCGGGCCGCCTGGATACTGCCTTTCCTCAGCTTGTTCCTTTCTCCCCACTTTCAATCTCACTTCCCAATCTGCCCCACCCTCGACAGCTGGTGTTCCTGTGCACCCAGTACCATTTACACCATCACACGGTGCTCACGGCCTGAAAGCCCTTTCTCCAAACACTGCCTTCTGTCCATCACACACGCAGCTACTGCCTCTCCCAAGAAGCCTTCCCTGATCACCTCCAGTCTTTGTTGGGGCTTCCCCTGAGCTCCCCTAAATAGCCTTCTAGAGTGGAGATCAGCAAAGTTCCTCTGTGAAGGACCAGAAGGTAGATATTTTAGGCTTTTGGGGGCCAGTCTGTCACATCATTCAGTTCTGCCACTGCAAGGCAGAAGCCACCACACACAAGAGGTAAAAAAGCGAGCACAGCTGTGTTTCAATGAAAGTTTATTTGCAAGAACAAGCAACAGGCTGTGGATGTGGCCAGTGTCCTGTAATTTGATGACCTCTGCTCTAAATCATCACTGATCTTGTGCTCGAATATGGTCTGCGCTCCTTCCTGGCCCCCAGTACAGGATCCAACTCAGGGTAGATCTTGGGGGACAGTGAACCAAATGCCCAGTCTCTGCTCCGGCACCTCCAGGCCCAGGGCTCCCCCGATCCCAGGAAGTTCCTTCCCACAAGCCAGCTTCCTCCGTGATTCTCTAGCTGCCTGCAGGGATCCAGGGAGAGCCTGGTTCTCTGAATCTATTTCTACCTTTCTTTTCCACAGAGTCTTTACAGTATATCTGCATCCTAAGATGCGTTTTGTTCACAGTTTCCTTAGACGGAAGTGTCTGTGTTTGTGCAGGGCTAGAAGAAACCCAAGGAATCCCAGTCCACCTACAGTCAGGGAGCCTAAGGCCTGGGGTAACACAGCAAGACAGGATATAAGAGCCAGTTTTCATGCCTTTTAGCCCAGAAGCCCCCAGCAGCCCTCCCTGAGCCCCGTACCAAGAAGTCATTACCAGTCAATCCCAATACCACTTTTTGGTAAATCATAGTCCATAATCATCTTAAAGTCAGCACCAGTATGAACCACAGCACTTGGAAACTATTCCCCTGTAAGAAGCCCGCATCCACAACGAGAAACGTGTATCCCAGTGTTTCTTTTTCCTGTTCCAACACTGCCAAGTGCTTCCTGTATACCAGCTTTGCTAGGTGTTTTACCTAGGAAATCCCAGAAGCAGGCTTCTTGTGTTCTCACTTGACATATGAGGAAACCCAGGTCTAGAGACACTAAGTATAGGCCTTCATCACATCTGGTGAACTCCCAGTCAGATATGCCTGCTTTTACCCTCCATGACTCCCCAAACAAACACTCAGCGGTAGATGTGGAAGGAAGGCCCCAGGGAAGTAGGTGGGAAAGCACCATGGAAGCTTCAGCCAGCAATTTATGAGCCTCTGTCTTTGGACACAGAGGACAAGGAGCTAGCCAGTCCCCAAGAGCCCAGAGCGAGGGCACATCCTTTGAGGATGTGTGATGGGGCAGTGCCCAGGAGAGCAAGGCAAGTTTGTAGAAGGTGACGAGGGGCCTGTCACTGGGCATATGACAGCCAGATACCCTCCAGGACCCTTTCTTCTCCTGCATTCTGGAAGCTCAGGGCCTCTTCCCACGTACTGAACCCTGACAGGCACTGGGCAAGACCAGAGCAGCTAAATGCACTATCAAAATCCCAGAGGGCAGCTTGGCGGTGCAGGAATGGCAGTGGAAGGCATGGTGTCCCTGATGTTATTTTTCAAAACAAGTCGGCTCACCGTCCAGGCCAGTTTGGACATTTCTACCCCGGCTCTGGCCTGGCATCTTTCATCCACAGTCCCAGGGACTCTTCGCAGCTGTGGTGGTAGCTGTTGCTACTGTGCTCTACCGAAGAGGAAACTGAGGCTCAAAGAGGCGAAAGTGGTAGGTGGCAGAAGTGGATTTCAACTCCACAGTGCTCTCTCCATTAAGGCCCTCGGTCACCCTAGCGTTAGCCAGCTAAACATGAGGACCAGAAGAGGCAATGCAGTGACATGCCTCTTGGGCCCAAGGACAAGGTAAGGGGGAAGATGAGCCGTGTAGCACTGAAGCACTTGTGGGAGGTGGGCTCCGGCAATGTGCCCAGAGTGTGCGGCACAGTACACCCGGCCTGTAACCACTTGTGCTCTGCTAATGTACAACCCTAGGGAAACTGAGGTAGCATGGTCAACTTTAGGTTTGGGGTCAGACTAAACCACTATGGAAGACCCTGTTGGAAGTGTAAGTGCATGGAAGGATTTAGAATCAAAGTTTAGCCTGCCTGCCATGGCCACCTCCTCACTGGGTGACTGTGGGCAAGTCCCTTCCCTCTCTGAGCCATTGGGGACGTAGCTTTCCCATGTAGCACTGCCACAAGGGCAAATGGCATAAAGACTCCCCTGGGCACTGTCAGAGAGGGGCCCAGCATCAGCCCACTCAGTATAACGAGTCCAACAGTTATTAAGAGGCCATCTCAGCTTTGCCACAGAAGAGCAAGCAGTCGTGAGGTTACAGAGTTAAGCTGGGCCAGACCCTTTTTTCTGGGCCTTGGCTCTGGTTCCCAGTGTGATTCCCCAGCTGGGCTGGAGGCCGTGGCTCCCTGTTTCCAAGGATTTATGTTCCTCCATGCCAGTCTGCCCCTTGGACAATGCCCACCTCTGTGAGTTCCTGTACTCTGCGACCCAGGAGTGATACATAGTCATCCAGGGTCTGCGACATCATAATCTGGTGCCATGGCAACAGATAGGCTGCCACAAAGGACTCAGGATTCCAGAGGGCGGTGAGGAGGGGCCAAGCCCAGGACAGAGCAGGGACAGTGGGAAACCCAGGACAAAGGACGTGGGAGCTGCTATTTATAGCAAAAATACAGGATGCTGACAGTGTAGGACTGTACATGGCCAATCAGGCTGCTCAGCCACACTGGGCTGTGTGACCTTACTCAAGTTACAAGACTGCTCTGAGCCTCTTTGTCTGTGCGCCTCACAGTGCACACAGGGCTGCTATGAGGAGCGAATGTACTTTACGAACAGAAAACCAAAAAGGTGCAAGTCTGAGGAGTGCTCAGTCACAGCCCCAGCCCTGGCAGCTGCACGTGTGTGGTGCAGGGTCCTTCAGGCAGCACTTCGGGCCTCCCTTCTCATCAGGAGATGGAGGTGGGGTGCTGACTGCATCTCCAGCCCCTCTCCTCACCCAGTCTATGATCTTACAAATTATTATGATCACTCAACACCTCCTGGCTTCCCCAAGACAATGCACATCCTCATGTTGCTGTGCCCACCCACACACAGACTGCAGCCCAGTGCAGAGCTCAGGACACCTGGGAGAGCCGCTCATGGGCCTTCCTCCTGCCATGTCAGAGCCCTCCTATTTACCACAGAAGTCACAGCTCAAGGGCAAGCACACACCCATGGG